AGCTACCTAAGCTGCACGTCGCTCTCTACCACTGATCAGATACGCAGCAGTATGAGTCTCAATTAACGGATCCAAAAGAAATCCTCGGTACGGCTTAAGACGATAATGAACAAACCTACGGTCCTTTGTGAGCGAAACAAAAATGAGAAAGTGTTGTTTGATTGTAACTCTGATGCGTCGGTGGCTGAACCTGATAAAGATGAAATACGAGGAAGATGGGAGGCCAATTATTACCCAATCTGGGGAGGGGGTAACAATGTAAAACCGTCAGGAGAAGCCCCTAGAGTCCTTGGATCGTCTGAGATTGATACCTACGCATGTTCGTGTTTACGAAAGGACTATGTGGGAGGGAGCGGACATAGATCTATTCGAATATAGAAACACAGATAAATAGTAACCCATGCTAGGCGGAGATACTTACAGGTGATTAGACATGCCACTTCTCACAGTACTTTCCATGAGTAAGCGCCTGGTTAATGCTAAAGCAAGTAATTCTTTCATTCTTTCATTATATCATTTCCGGTAAACTCATTGACTATTGGGACTACCATCCACGCTACTAACTACCCCATCATCCCCCCAGCCCTCGCAACCTTCCTCGCTCGCTGCTGTCGACGATTATGATTCGCCCGACTAGCTTTATTCTCCTCTTTCCTCTGCCGCGCAACAGCAGGGTTACTATTCCCAGGAGTACTACCCTGCTGGCCTGCACCACGTCCCCGACCTCTCCCACCGCGTCCGCGTCCTCCTCTTCCTCTTGGGCTGTTGCTCCCACCTGCCTCACTCTCGTCGTCATCTTCCGTTCCAGCACCAGGTCTCCGATACGACGTAGCCGGCAACTCAGGCTGATTCAAACCCCCACCATCAGCAGCACCAAAAGCCATCTTATCCTCCAATCTAGCCATCCGTTTCGGATCCCTCGACAACATAACTGCCCACCCCTCGATCGCTTCATCCGTCATGCCGGTTTCGCGCTTAAGCGAAGCGCGGGGCTGTGAGCGTCTTGTGGCAGAGTCGCGCGCGAACAGGGCCGGATTAGATTTATATGTGCGGTAGAGGGAGAGTTCTGCCTCTTGTTGTTGCTCTGCTGCGGCCTTGGCATCGTCGGTGGTGGTGTCATCAATGGTTCCGCCGACGTCGGCAATGTCGTAGGTATCGTCGCGTTCGTCGTCGTCGGAGTCAAAGGTTGCTAGGGCGGAAAGGATAGCAGCTTTGTTCGCGGAGTGGTGGGTGCGGTCGGCGAGGAGGTCGTCGGCTTGGGTGGTGTTGGTGCGGCGGCCGTGGTGGAGGGTAGACTGGTCAGATAGTTCGGCAAGGTCAACGTCGTTGTCGAAGATGTTTTTGCGGGCTGGGAGGGTTGACTCTGTGGGTGGTGGTGTTGAGCGGGGTGGGAGAGGGTCGTGGGGGATGGTTGAGGTTGATGTTGATGTAGGAAGTTGTTCGAATTTGTCGAGGGTGCGGAGCTCAGAGGGGATGGAGTCGTCGAGGAGATGCGAGACGATTGTTTCGGGGTCGTCGTTGTAGTGGTCTAGCAAGCGGGTGATGTAGCCGGAGCCTAGGTCGGGGAAAAGATCTTGGACTTGGGTGATCAAAGACATGCGGTGAATGTGCATGTCTTCGGGAGCGGGGAGATCCGTAGCAGCGCGGCCTTTGCCTTTGTCGAGGAGTCGCTTCTTTTGTTTTTGATGGCGACGGTGGAAGACTTTCGTTTCTTCTTGATAGGTTCGTAGACTGGTGAGGAGGTCTTGGCCTCGTTTCTGGGGGTGGGTGCTGAGATGGCGGTCGAGACGGACGAGGAGGTCTGTACTGCATATAACGTCGGATAGGAGGGTGGGCTCCTTTTTCGTTGTTGAGGATCCGACGCCAGCGCTGGATTTTAGACTGTATAGCTGGTCCAGCAGCGCGGAGAGGTTCAGCTTTGGCCCCTTCAGAAGCGATGCTAGACCAACGTAGACATTCGCTACGAGGACGCTGCGGATATCCGCTCGTTTGTGTGTTTGGTATGCATCGGCGAATGTGTCCAGAAAGTCAGATCCGGTCATGAGCACCTGGCCGCAACCGGGGAGTGCGGACGCCAGGATAGTCAAGAGGCGAATGTCAGAGAGGATAGCCGTAGACTCCGTGGGGTTGAGCGAGGCAAGCTCTCTGATAATCTTCGTCTTGGCCTTCTCAAGGCTGGATGTTATTGTATCATGATGCTTGTTCCAGGCATCAGACAATAGTCGCTTCATGGCAGCGCTTGAAGGGTAGGTGCAACGCATGTTCGCAAGGACATGTACATCAAGCAGCTCGGACGGTGTTGCAGAGGCATCCAGAAGGAACCTCCTCGTTAACAAGAAGCAAAGCTTCCGTAATGATCGCGCTTTAAGCCCGGCATGGAAGCCAGATGAGCCATAGGTGGCAGATTGATGATAGAAGGAGGTCAAGAAGGTCACGGCAGTTTCATCGTGGGCGGCAATTTCTTTGAATTGGGAATCAGGAGCTTCAGTGCGTACTTGCAGAAGCAAGATCCACGCATCTATATAGAGCTCCCATTCGTTGGGTGGTACGGTGCTCTGCACCTCCGGGGGTGGAACCGGTGCCAAAGGAGGTAGTGGTTCCGGCATGACGCAGTGGATGGGCTTTGTCGACCGTCAAGCTCGGAAATTGTAAAATTGAATTGGACTATTTATGCTTGAACGTTGGAAGCCGACCACACGCCTGGACCATCCACCAATATCGTCACTGGGCAATCCATCAGCCCCTCTGTCGGCTGCAAAATTCAGTGCGGATCCTGACGTCAGGTGACTTGAGCCTCGGCCTCCGCTCTGTTGCGGGGACGGAGATGGCCGCAGTAGTACCTGCATGGAGACAAAGCGGATCTGCACTTTTATTTATTGTGAATATATTTGCAAAGTAAAGGTTATTTTAAAAGTCAATCTAATATGAATAGGAGATACTAAATAATTTACTACTATTGCTAGTAGCCAACAGATTCTACTCAAGCGCTGTCTAATACAATAAAATTGAGATGTATACAATGATGTCATCATCCATGCAACAGAAAAATATAAATCTACTTACTTACACAGCACTAATGAATGATTTGATTTTCATATACTCTCTACCTTCCAGTGAATATTATTCACTGAGACAATTGTCATATATCGGATTTGGCCGACATACTTTGCGTGGCTAAGCATTTGTGGAAACTTACTTTCCTTCCCACCCCGGATCTTGGCTTCACTTCAGGGACGTCTAGCTCTTCCTTGAAACCCATTGTGTGGCAAACAGCACCTAGAGGAGGCGAACATTCTGTCGCACAACTCCCATAACAAAGAATTCCCCCTCTTTAGTAGTCCTTCAGTAACTCGTTTATCGCAAACTATCCACGCCATACCCCCGATCACTATGTAATGGCTCCGAACCAAAGGGTTGACCAGTTGACCTATACAGCCAACACGGATACTGAGCCGGAATCCACTAGAAATAGCTGGATAATGTTGTAAGAAGGTTGCATAAGACTGTGCATAGTGACTACGAAAAGGACAATGACACGAGTCCATCGTGGATGCCATTGGGCCCAGCTGCAAATACTCCCTCGGGACCCGAAGTATACCGGATTCGAGGGCCACTCCGGGCATCCCTGTAAATCTATTCCTCTTCCGTAATCGATGGATAATGACATCTAAAACGCGCGAGGGTACTTAGATGCCCCAAGCCTCTCTGAAAGTACAAAATGAGGCCAGACAAATAGTGCCCAGAAATCTTGGCTGGTTCAAGAGTTCGACACACGGCCGCTGGTATCTTCAATCAGCAGTATGCGCGTCCTCGTAATTGGCGGGACCGGACGATGTGGCAGGCTTGTCATTGACGAGCTGCTGGGACGAGGTAGGCTCCTGCTACTTTATAACACATACGATGTGGTGATGGATATGGCTAATATGTCCAAGGTCACCAGGTCACTACCCTAGCCCGAACACCTGTTGCGCTGGGTGGTCCACGACCCGGTCTAGATGTCATCAAAGGCAAGTACCAGATAAAGTCTCGCTGCTGCTACTGCTTCGATTGCAGAGTGCTCCACGGCTGACATATCTCAGGCACTCCGATGAACTTAGATGACGTACGAGCCGCGTTCAAAGCAGACAAGCCCGACGTGGTGATCGTAACGCTGAATGCGCCTCGAGCGAGCGATAGTCCGTTTGCTGCCGCCATCTCTCCCCCTCGTTTAATGGCCGACTGCAACGCCAATGTAGTGGCTGCAATGAAAGAGTTTGGGGTCCGCAAGACTGTGATTCTGCAGGCATTCGGGGTGGGAGCATCCTGGGCTAATCTGCACATTCTGCTGCGGCTACTTATGAAGACATCTAATATGTCACATCAGTACGATGATCACAATGAAACAGAAAGGGAAGTCCTGGCCAGCGGGGTCGGTTATGTGTTTGTGAGGCCGTCGCGGCTAGTCGAAACGGAAGAAACTGCCATCAAGGTGTGGCAGGATGACGGTAAGGGAGTTCCCATGATGGCTAGTACGAGTCGAATTAGCGTGGCGCGATATTTGGTCGATGTGGCCGAGAGTGATGAATGGGATAACACGGCTCCAGTTATCACCAACTGAATCGAATCGGGATCGGGACGGGAGGTGGAGATGTTGCGGGGGTGGAGATTGGTGTGGTTTAATCGTTTGTCTGTTTTGCTTGTGGGATTTCTGGGTCAGGGTGGGTATGTATAATATTGATGATGTGATAATATTCCCGGCAGGTATACGGTATGCCTGGATGTGTAATGATAATGAGGAAATTGAATAAGGCATGCATTATGTTGAAATTAGGGAACTGGTTTTCATTTACTACATAAATAATGCAGGCACTGCATAATATTTTGATAATGTAAGTAGTGGCTGTCCGGAATATGTGTTGTTCCATTGGTATTTGACCACATGATATTAGTGGCTTATCACGGATGAGTCATAATCGAGATCGACACCAGATCCGGCATCGGCGGTGGCGCGAGCCAATCAAGGGGAAGGTAAAAGAAAAGTGCCACTAGCATATGGCACAGAAAATTGCTCGTCGTTGAGTCTCTGTCACTTCCCTCTGCTATCATCCAAGCAACCGGCGTGACAATGGTGAGGCAGCTTGTTTGGCAGCGGGCCACCGCCTCTCAGAGGGTAAGTCGTGCCGTTATCAGCCCGATTGACTCCCCTAGCAGCTTGGACTGACCACTCCACTTCCCCGTATCATAGTTGGCCCCGAAGTGCCTCTCTCCGCAACGACTGTTCAGTCGCCGTGGTCTGGCCACGGAGGCTTCTCCGGCAGCCTCCTCCCGCTTGCCTCCCTACCCGAAGATCGTTCAAAACCTCGAAAACGTCCGTCGCGTGCTCGGTCAGGACCGCAACTTGACATTGGCGGAGAAGATCCTCTATGCCCATCTGGACAACCCCGAGGAGTCCCTTCTGACCGGCACCAACAATGGCCGTGACATTCGCGGCAAGGCCAACTTGAAATTGAAGCCCGATCGCGTGGCGATGCAGGATGCGTCGGCCCAGATGGCACTTTTGCAGTTCATGTCTTGCGGTCTCCCCTCGACGGCCGTGCCCGCGAGTATCCACTGCGACCACATGATTGTTGGTGAGCGTGGTGCTGACACTGATCTGCCGGCATCCATCAAGGGTAACAGCGAGGTGTTTGACTTCCTGGAGAGTGCTGCCAAGCGCTATGGAATTGAGTTCTGGCCCCCTGGTGCCGGTATCATTCACCAGAGCGTTCTGGAGAACTACGCTGCCCCGGGTCTGATGATGCTGGGAACTGACAGTCACACCCCCAACGCCGGTGGTCTGGGTGCCATTGCCATTGGTGTCGGTGGTGCAGATGCTGTTGATGCGCTGGTTGACGCCCCTTGGGAGCTCAAGGCGCCCCGCGTCCTGGGTGTGCGTCTGGAGGGCAAGCTCAACGGCTGGGCTGCCCCCAAGGACATCATCCTCCACTTGGCCGGTAAGCTCACCGTCCGTGGTGGAACCGGCTTCATCATTGAGTACCACGGACCTGGTCTGGAGACCCTGAGCTGCACTGGTATGGCCACCATCTGTAACATGGGTGCCGAGGTGGGCGCGACGACCTCCGTGTTCCCCTTCTCCCCCAACCACGTTCCCTACCTGCAGGCGACTCACCGGGCTGATGTTGCCCGTGCCGCCTCTGAGATCGCCGGTTCCGGTCCCAGGAACCTTCTCCGTGCCGATGGCGGTGCTGAGTATGACCAGCTGATCACCATCGACCTGTCGACGCTGGAGCCTCACATCAACGGTCCCTTCACCCCCGATTTCTCCGTTCCCTTGTCTGCTTTCGCCGACACCGTTCGTGAGAAGCAATGGCCCGAGTCCCTTGGTGCGGGTCTGATTGGTAGCTGCACAAACAGTTCCTACGAGGACATGACCCGTGCGGAGAACCTGGTCAAGCAGGCCTCTGCCGCCGGTCTTCAGCCCAAGTCCGACTTCTTCATCACCCCCGGTAGTGAGCAGATTCGCGCCACCCTGGACCGCGATCAGACTCTGTCGACCTTCTCGCAGGCTGGCGGTACCGTCCTGGCCAACGCCTGCGGTCCCTGCATTGGTCAGTGGAAGCGCACAGACGGTGTCCCCAAGGGCGAGGACAACGCCATCCTTACCTCCTACAACCGGAACTTCCCCGGTCGTAACGACGGCAACCGGAGAACCATGAACTTCCTGGCCTCCCCTGAGCTCGTCACCGCCATGGTTTACTCTGGAAGCACCACCTTCAACCCCATGACCGACAGCATTACCACCCCCAGCGGTGAGGAATTCCGCTTCCAGCCTCCCACCGGCTACGCTCTTCCCAGTGACGGCTTTGCCGACGGTAACCCTGACTTCCAGCCCACTGCCGCTGTGCCCGACCCGTCCTGCGAGGTGATTGTCTCCCCCACCTCGGATCGTCTGGCCCTTCTGGAGCCCTTCGCTCCCTTCCCCAAGGGCGACCTCTCCGGCCTTAAGGTTCTGTACAAGGTCCGTGGTCAGTGCACGACTGACACCATCTCGGCGGCTGGTCCGTGGTTGAAGTACAAGGGTCACCTGCCCAACATCTCCGCCAACACCCTGATCGGTGCCGTCAACGCCGCCACCGGTGAGACTAACGTTGCCTACGACGAGGACGGCAAGCAGTACTCCATTCCGGACCTGGCCGCCCAGTGGAAGGCCAACGGTGTTGAGTGGCTGGTCGTGGCTGAGGAGAACTACGGTGAGGGTAGTGCACGTGAGCACGCTGCCCTGCAGCCCCGTTACCTGGGTGGACGCATCATCGTGGCCAAGAGCTTTGCCCGTATCCACGAGACAAACCTGAAGAAGCAGGGTGTCGTTCCCTTGACTTTCGAGAACTCTGCCGACTATGACAAGATTGATGCTTGTGACCAGGTGGCCACCGAGGGACTGTATGAGGTCTTGCAGGCTGGTGGACAGGGCTCCATCCAGCTGCGGGTGACCAAGCGCAGCGGCGAGTCGCTGGTGATCCCCGTCAAGCACACTCTCAGTCCGGACCAGTGTGCTTTTGTCCTGGCCGGTAGTGCGTTGAACTTGCTGGCTCAGAAGGCCAACAAGAAAAGTGCTTGATTAATGGGTGATGGGTGAAAATTCAGCGAAGTGTACATATATCCATCTGTTGGTGTTTTGTTCTATCTACTTTCGAGCGTTATATTAGTAGATCATGTTAGACAATAAACTGTCTGGACTTGATTCTCGCATCCTAACAAGTAGATGCTATTTAATTATAACCAAGGAGCTCAGCAACGCTTATGAAGCAGGCCGAAGCAAAGCAGAGAAACAATTATGCTATTCCCAACAACCCAACTATCTGACCACCAAGTAACGAGTGTCCCCTACTTCCCATCATAAGCCCACTCCCTCCCCAAGTCCAACCTCCCCTTTTCCATCTCCTCGACCCCCACAAATTCCGGCTTAATATACCTCGCCGTCAACGCAAACCTCAATCTCTTATCCGGAATAACCGAATGCTACACAATCAGCATCCACTGCACCTACCCCAACCATCCCCATGAAACAGACATGGACGAAAAGAAAAAAAGGGATAAATCATACCTCAAAAAACTTCTGCAACCCCTCCCCAGTCATAACCACCAGATCACCATGATTCACCTCCATCTTAATACACGGCGTCGCCTCCCCTCCCCCACCAGTACCACCTTTCTTCATACTCAACAGTCCCTCACGCCTCAACTCATCATACCCCTCGCGATCAATACTCCCACTCAGCAACCCCGCCTTGAGCTCCCTCCGCCGGAGATAATTCTTGCATCCAGGCAAGACCGGATCCTCTTCGAGGAGTTTCTTCGCTCTGCTGTAGCCATGGTAGTATTTGTATTTCATGCGCACGAGCATGGTGGATTTTGCGCCTAAAGAGAGGGTGGAGATCGTTGGTCCGAGGGAGGATTCGCCGTCGTCGTGGTACTATCCATAGAGTGAATATTCTTCTGGACGGAGATTTTGGGAGCCCCGGAAAGAGGGCAAGGGAGATATGTACGTACCCCGATTCTCATATCCTCCAGATACCCCAACAGGAGCATTTCGTTTGGCGGAAGGAAGATATCCCCCGCGGTAAGATGGGCTTGCTTGCTGGCCCAAATTAGACGGCCCATGGCCCGCAAAATTGGGGGACAGGCTTCCTTGAAGGATTTTGAGGAGACGGAGACGACGTATTTGTATGGCATACCCTGTTTCAGTTCTTTGTTAGGGTCTGTTGTGAGAATGGTAGGAAGGTTATGGACGCACATAATTAACAGCGAAATGAGCAGTCAATGTCTCGGCAACTACATACACCATTAGCATCCACCCCCTTCATCCCCATAGATGAAGACAACTCACCCACATTCTGCGCCAACGGATATCTCCTCAACCCTAGCTCCTCGCACTGCAACTGCTCAAATAACTTATCCGGTCCATTACGCCGGGTATTTATCTCGCGATTCGCAACTAAATGCATGATACTCCCCACCCCGGGGATAGTATACGTAAGTTTTCTATATGGATAAAGAGATACATCGTCAACCTCCGGAACCATGAACTTCGCGTCCCAGCTAAGCGCACGCTTAATAGGGCTCATTTCCATGTCATCGATCACCCATCGCAGAGCGATAGGTCGTATGGGTAGAATGTGCTCAAAGGGACACTTCCACTCCCTGTCTCTGACGGAATCATCATCCGCGCATCGCCATCCCCACCAATACCGCCGGGAAATGCACCGCTTGCATAGGGGACATATGATTCCTTTCCAGGTGATCCTCTTCGACAACGCATCGCTGTCAACACCTTTCAATGTGGAAAGTAAGTCCGGCACGAGGCTGTAATGTGGATGGATGGTTGGGTCCGGAGGGAGACGGGATTTGAGGAATTTCTCGTGGAAGATGAGATCCGCTGGTGCTGAAGACGAGCCGCTGATCATCCAGAAGAGTTTACAAGATGACTGCAGACACATCCAACCTTGATCGTATATGCGTACGCTATATTGATTGCACGCTCCGCAGCGGGCCTGCTCTGCCTGCATTGCATAATCCCTCTTCTTTCTCTCCAAGGGAGAGGGGGAATGCTTCGCAGCCCACCAGCTCTTACTACCCAGATCCACCTTCTCGAACCGGACCTTTGCACCCGTTCTTCTACCGATGCGTTCGTACCACACGTGCGTGATCCGGAAATACGCCATGACGTTGTACCGGTGCGGGAGAGATCTGTTTAGAAGAGTGTTGCGGTTTCCTGTAGGGTTATCAACATTGCAATGCGAAATGCGGCACGGCCTACTCACCAATCACAATCCCCACTGGAACATTTAACTCCATACTAGTCAGTATACTGCTCATCGCCGCACTATCGCCATCCTGGTCCTTGATGAGCACTAGGTCCCCGTTTGCATCTTTGGTGCAGCCGCCTCCGCTGGACATAATATTGTCAGCTCTCGACAAAGATTATGAGATTTGAAGGAGAATAGGACATACACACGAGTAATAACCACCTCATCATCCAAATACGACCGTATCCCACAGTCCGCATCGATCAGGAACCCCCAGCATATGTTCCCGTTATGATAGACTCCGCCTTGCACAGAGCGGAACCAGGGCAGGGCATCGCAGAGTTCGGGTCTGTTCTACTTAGTAATTATATAGGTTAGTACGGTTGGGGGAAAGAGGGACGGTAGGGTATGCGTACCTCAGCCCAGGCTGGGGGTTGGCCTTCTGTTTCTTGTTCTTGGCGCTCCGGGTAAGGGTGTGAGTGGGTATGCGCTGTAGGATTGGATATACGGGTGAAAGTAGTGGTCGTTGTAGGGCGAGACTTTCGGGGTCGTGTAATGCGTCCTGAGGTTATGGGTTGGGGTTGGGGTTTGCTTGTCGCTGTTGCCCTAATGGGTCTTTTGGGGCTCATGACGGGTGGTGTATGGATAGGTAGTTAATGAGTGGTTGTAAGGGGATATATAGAAAGAGAGTATACTTTTTCGAAGGAGTGGTTGCAAGAATGGTCTAATATTGGATGGTGTGAAGTCTGGTTAGCTGGTAGTCGTGGTCATAAGCTATTGTGTAGTCATGACGGAGGGGTGAGGATATCAGCATAGCGTCATCAAGTGTTCAACTGTGAGGGTTGGAAGAGCTGAGGGTAAGTTCGTTCTAAGAATGATATTTAAATCCGAACCCTATCTGAGGGGAGCTGTAACATACAGAGGATGTAGTCTTTGAGGCATGAAATACTCTGATCTATACAATATCTAGGTAAGATTGGTGTCTCTCACAACACATCTATTTCCCAAACACATCCTTCTGTTCCGGTACCAAAGTGATCATCTTCCCCGTTTCTACGCCGGAGCGCAGGTTATTCAACACGAGCAACTCCATCTCTCGTTGCGTCTCATAAGTCATGGTACCAATATGCGGCAGCAGCATGACCCGGGGGTTGTTCACCAGCCCCGGCTCAATGGCGGGTTCATTCTCGTAGACATCCAGTCCAGCCGACCATACCTAAATCATCACATTAGCCCGGTTACCCTTATCTTCGAAGAAGAAGTTGACTAACCTTGCCCGACTCCAGCGCCTCAACCAAGGCCTTCTCATCAATCAGCGCTCCACGCGCCGTGTTGACAATGATGACTCCATCCTTCATCTTCTGAAACTCCGACTTGCCAATAATGCGACGAGTGGACGCGTTGAGCGCCAGGTTCAAACTCAACACATCAGCATTGGCGAGAAGCTCATCAAACGAGACGTAGGTCGCTCCGTCCTCGAGTTCCGGGGACAGACGCGACCGGTTATGGTACTGGATGGTCATTCCGAAGGCACGCGCACGACGAGCCACCTCCTGCAACTCATTAATATGATGCTCCTCGGGTCCTGTGTGCTTAACTTACACGGCCGATTCCTCCCATGCCGAGAATTCCAAGCACCTTGTTCTGGGGATCATGTCCGAGGCCAGTTTGGCCGAGAAACTTCCCTATTCCATGGTTATATTGAGTTGTGACTGGGCTGGAATGGATAGGCTCACCTTCGCGGAGCGACGAGACGGGAATGTATGCCTGTCGCAATGCGCCGATCATTAGGAAGATGGCCACATCGGCGGTGGCGTTGTTGACTGCAACGGGAGTGCTAGAGACAGCGATTCCTGGGATAGTTAGTGTGCGTCATGCTAGGAGGAGAGACTGTGTGTACCTTTCTTTGTGCAAGCCGCGACATCGATGTTATCGTAGCCTGCGCCATTGTGGGCGATGTACTTGAGTGAGGAAGGCAGGACGGAAACTAGTTCTGCGTCGAAAGGGCCGGTGAACTGAAGCGTTTTAGCTATTTTCTTAAGTATATCGTCATGAAGCCTGCCCACCTTCGTAGAAGTATTGGAGCGATAGATGGCGACAACATCGTCGTACTGGCCGTCGCGACAGTTGCGGAGAAAGTCCTCGCGAGTTCCGGAGGGGAATTCCTTCAAGGTCAGAATAGAGGAGAGATCATTCCATTCGGGGATGGAATGGGTGATGGCACCGATCAGCAATGCGGCGGGCATGATGGCGATGATGTCAAGGAAAAGAGTATCCTGCGGGGAGAAGAGGAGAAAGGAAAGGAAGAAGAAAAGAAGAACAGACAAGGTGTGAGGGATATACAACGGGGAATATCCGATTAATCAGGGCATTTATGAATGGCCGGTGGAGGTAGATCCACCATTTGGCGTGGGGGGAGACTTTTGATTACTATGTAATCTAGCAAGATATCATCCAGCGATAATAACGCAATAATACAGCAATAACCAGATAGAAAAGAGGGTATGCGGGGTCGGCCATCCAATTTGGGATGCCGTCGGCTATTGACCGGGTAGGAGTCAATAGCCGACGCGGAGCTCCTCCGGCGACTGAATCCATTACTTCTGATTCAAAAGATTACAATTTCTTCCCCCACGTCATGTATTGAGTTCCATTCCTCTTTTCATTCTTTTTTACACTTCTCCTTCCTATCTCAACTTCTCTCATACATCCATCATGACCGTCAACTCTACAGAAACCACCCAGGCCCTCGTCCTGCACGGCGCCAAAGATCTCCGCCTAGTAAGAGCTTCCCCGCACCCCACTCTCCTACTCTTTCTATCTTCAGAAACGTCTCTAACAAAAACCAGGAACCGCGCCCTCTCTCCCCTCCAACCGGCAGTGAAGTCCAAGTCGCCATTCGCGCCACTGGTCTCTGTGGCTCCGACCTGCACTACTACACCCACGGGCGGAATGGCGACTTCGTGGTGCGTGAACCCATGTGCCTGGGCCACGAATCCTCCGGCATCGTCACAGCCATCGGCCCCGAGGTAACCACCCACGCCGTGGGCGACCGCGTCGCCCTCGAAGTCGGCTTTGCCTGTCGTCAATGCGCCCTCTGTCAACAAGGGCGCTATAACATCTGCCCTCAGATGAAGTTCCGCAGCAGCGCGAAACTCTTCCCCCATCTCGACGGCACCCTCATGGAACGTACCAACCACCCCGCCTCCCTCTGCCACAAGCTTCCCTCTCACGTCTCCTACGCCGGCGGTGCCCTCGTTGAGCCCCTCGCCGTCTGTCTACATGCCATCCGCCGCTCCCGGCCCCCAACCGCCGAGGACGTCTCCCTCGCGCAGTCCCTCGGCGAACCCGCCGCCGCCTTGATCTTCGGCGCCGGCGCTATCGGCCTCCTCCTGGCCTCTGCGCTGGCCGCCTCCCAGAACTTCTCCTCCATCGTGGTAGCAGACATTGATGCCTCCCGACTGGCTATTGCTGACGAGCTGGGACTGGGTCTCAAGACCACTCTCATCCCCAAGGCGGATCCCGCGAACCCCGCGCCAGCCCGCGATGCCCCGGCCGCCGAGCAGACGGCTTGGGCGCTGCAGAATGCCCAGCGCGTGGCGGGGATCTTGAAGGAGTCAGCGGGTGTGGAGAAGACAGGCTATGCACGCGTGTATGACTGCACAGGCGTGCCGGCGTGTGTGCAGGCCGGGATCTATGCCGCGGGGGCGGGTGGAGTGTTGGTGCAAATTGGCATGGGCCATCCCGTGCAGACACTTCCTGTTGGAGCGGCGGCGCTGAGAGAGGTCGACATTCTGGGAGTGTTCCGGTATGATGGGTATGCGTATCCCGCGGCCATTGAGCTGATGGCGAGTGGGAAGATGGATCGTGTGGAGAAGATGGTGGTGACGCATCGGGTGGCGCTGGCGGATGGGGATCGAGCGTTCAACCTGTCGGGCAAGGGAGTGGATGAGGAGGGGCGACCGGTCGTGAAGGTGGTAATTGAGAGTGGAAGCGATGCCTGAGCGGATGAACTAATCTATTCAAAATGATGATGGTGACGATGACGACGATGATGAAGTTACGGAGTGTATAGTAGTAGAGCAATCCCGGAGAACAAGTCCGCATTTAAATAACCCTACAGACAGTATATATGAAAAATACTATCCCAACTAGATGTTCTACCTGTTATATACCCCGTCCATACCTACATGTTCACAATATTAGTCTCCTCCAGTCTCTGGATGTGAACCGTTACCGCTACCTTTGGAGGAGCTTCAATACGTATCCCTCAACTATGTCCTGCACAATGTCATTGATTACAATGTTTAAATATGTTAACGTTATCAACGATTCATCATCTACTTGTTCCCCAGGGCTTCTGGGATATTGTTGTCTTCTTTATGCATAGACTTGGATAATCTTCTCAATAACTTCTGCTACTTCTCTCAAAACCCTTGACCCGGTTTATGTGGCCCAAATGCAGAAGCCTACAGCATTGAATATTATCATGGACACCCTCGAAGGAGCTAAGTTGCAGGCAATAAAGGTCTCGGAATGGAACGTCTCAAGCTTGATAATTGCAGGGTCAGTTTCGGGACCATAAGTCGAGATGGCCTGCAATCTTAGCAAATTCTCTCCGAAGTACTGCATCAACTTCTCTCCAAGATTCTCCAAAATACTGCTTCTAAATCCAATTCCTTTAGTTTCTACCGACCGGTGTGGTATTCTTCTCCGAAAGAGGTGTCGTTCCTGATCGCGACAAGGACCCTTCGTTCTTGATCTTATCTTTCTCCGACGCAAGCTGTTTGTACTAGACATATGTCAGCGCAATCTGCATACTTTCGAACAGGGCAATGGCCGTGAAACCAAGGCAATTATTTGCAAAGGTATTTTCCTTACCTCTTCGTTTGTATCATCAAGGTGCAGAAGCCGGAGGAACATATGCTGCTCTTCGAGTGTGCTGAAAGTGATCTTAGACGTTATGTCATCGGAGAAGTCACTAAGCCGGTAGACGATGAGAGCATATTTAGCTGCTTCCTGGTGTTTATCGGGCTGTCCTTGTGTGACGTCAATACTAAATGGGTCATGTGTCGCATACAGGTGTCTCCCATGTCTTACTTTGGTACAATTTGTGCAGGTCAACGTAGCGGTCTATCGCAATAGACTTCACTCTCGGAGAGCTGTGCAGAAACCAGGTGATCTCCTCGTAGGCCTCGCGGTACAGTTTCTCTTCCATTCTGATGTGAATAGAGTGATCTCGGAAAGGCTCTGTCACGAGTAGGGTAGCAAACGCTCGTGCAACTGGTTGAAGAGATCCGATAGGCGCCAATAGCTGACCTGGACGTATCTAAATCCCGTTTGATAGTCACTTGTGAGATTTCTGGGTAAGACAAAATAAGCAGCGCCGACCAGGGTTCAGCGGAGTTTAAAGATAAATAGCATAGTCGTAGTGACAGCTGGTATGCAGGGGTGACGGAACAGCTTCCCGGATGGAATGGTAGAGATGATGAAATGACAGAGAGTGGTGAAGAGAAGAAGGTAGAAGACTCAGAAGAGGAAGACGGTGAGGGGATTGGAGAAAAACACGGGCATTGATAAACACAGTGAATGGTAGTTTTTGCAAGATCATGCCTGCTGTTTAGAGTCAGTATATACTGAATACCACGAAATTGTTGTGGGAAATGCTAATGGTAAGGCGGTCTCTCTAATCGAAGCCCTATGGTCATCAATCGGTAAGTATAGGGTTGAGTTCCTTGCCACCATTGTTTGGACCACCATATACCCGTTGTAAACGACATACTGTAGCAAAGCAATCACTGAGGCTCATTTGGATCTAAGCAGTGCGTATATGTGAACGAATTGGTGATACATCTTCCATTGCCAGACATGTGTTTTCCAAACATTTACAAGTCACCAAGCAAGATAAGCATCTGACAATGTACTTCTCACCTCTTCCATACGCTGCCTCAATCCTTCCAAGTCACAGACTTAGTCACAAGGTACTCATTCAATCCCTCCTCTGCATTGAACCGCCCCCAACCGGACTCCTTGATTCCACCGTATGGAAGGACCGGTTCATCATGCATATTCATACCATTTATATGCACAGCGCTGGATCAGTCAGTATCTCTGCTTAGCCATTCTCATCTACTCAGGTAGGTAACATACCCAAACTCCAGCTGCTTAGCGATTGCAAGACCTTTACGAAGGTCTTTCGTGAATACGGAAGCAGAGCTGCCGTAACCAACACTATTGGCGATTCTGACAGCTTCATCGTCGCTCCTGACAAGCATGCAAGCCGTCAATGTAGTATAATCTCCCTCGAGCCACATTCGCATGTTTGGCTTAACATTAGCGAGCACGAACGGGCCAATACTCAGAACACCGTCGCAACTTGGTTCTGTCTCAAGCTTTCCATGGAGTAACTCGGCTCCACATTCCACAGCGCTCGTAATCAAGCTCTCCACGTGAGTCTTCATAAATGCTTTGACGAATATGGGCGGAAGCACTTGGGCATCCGTCATGCTCAGAGTATATTTCAGGGCATCCATGAATTCTTCAGCAATCGAGGCATCAACAAGGATACGACCAGTTGACATGTAGATTCGATAGGACTATTCTTAATCATGTATTCTCACTGATGAGAGTGAATGACGAATCATACGTTCAACATAACTCCAGCCAGCACGCCCTCCACAGCAACCGGGACATCAGCATCCGCACAAACAATGGCATAGTTCTGCCCCATAGTGTCGATCAACGATGGCTTGAGGTTCATGCCACAAATAGCAGCAATCTGTTTCCCCAAATATATACTCCCCGTGTAATTGACCTTCCGTATCGCCGGATGCTCAATCATGGCATTCATAATTGGAGGCATATCTTCTCGGCAGATAGATATGACATTCAAGCATCCATCCGGAAGGCCTGCTTCCCAAAAAGCTCGGCCAATGGACCGATAACATCGCGGAGTCTGCATTGAAGACAAAAGGACAGCGGTATTTCCAGCTGCGAGAGCGCAGGCTGCCGCACGAATCCCGGATATATAAGGGGCAGTACTACAGATATACGTTATTAGCAAGACTGGCGACTGGTGTAATACGATCAGCTTTCCCTACCTGGGCACCATCCCTAATATGACACCCATGGGCTCCTTGAAGACAATTGCACTCTGACCTTCTCCTTCAACCACCGGCACACTCCCACAGATTGAAGGTATGCGACCTGCAATATCCCTCAGCATACTGCTCGCAAGAGGAATGACGAACCCCTTGATGGCCTCAACATCAGCACCCGTCTCAATATGCATATAGTTTGCAAATTCGCTTCGACGTCTCTCGAGAACATTGGCTGTCTCAAGCAGGATATAACGTCTGACGGCAGGCTTGGTACGAGCCCACGCTGGAAATGCTGCCTTCGCTGTCTCAATAGCCGTCGCCGCATCGGCAAACGTAGCACATGCTGCTTCCCAGCAAGTCTCGCCGGTCACAGGACTCTCAATCTTGAACGAGTGCGAGCCGCCATAGTCTCGGCCGTTGATGAACAAGGGAACCTTGGCGACAGAGGCTGCGATAGCCGTGAAAGGATCCATGATCAGTCACACAGGATGTAAGGATGGGAAACGATTTGCTAGTTTGCTTAGTGGTGAGCAGGTGGAAGAGGGACGTGGGCTGGTGACACAGGGATTTGATGGAAGAAAGCCACTGACGGGGATTGCCAGCCCGTCCCTCCCGCTCATAGGCAGTCACTAGGGGTTACATTGCACAACCCCATCGGAAGAAAGAGTATCAGATCCCAGAACGCAATAAAAGCCTAATAGGACCCAAAGCTGACTTTATTCCCCGCAGCTCCTCACTCATGTTGCCTTTCGCTCCTCCTTGAGGCTCATTGCGCGTCATCTGTGAATCAGGATGGGCCCCAGCGCCAAGGGGAAGGAGATGATTATGATTGTCTCCGTCCTGGTCGGCCTTGCGTGCCTCAGTATGGCTTTACGATTTGTTGCCAGAGTCAAGCGGCGCACTGGTTTCGGAGTAGATGATTGTCTCTGCTTCGTGGCTGTCATATTGATGTTGGGGATGTTGCTTGAGCTGATTCTGTGTAAGCTTCCGGATGCTCTCAATAGCATCTGTCTGACGGGATGAATCGTATCAGGGTGCTTTATTGGTGGGAATGGCTACCATTTATCTGATCTCGATACTAGGACCATTACACTGTTCTATAAAGTGGGTGTTTCATTTAGAATACACTACCCTCAGCAGCCTTGTTCTTCAAGCCCTCACTGAGGTTCAACTAGATATTCCTGTCTAGCCAATTCACCTATTTCGTCTTGACCCCGGTGATCAAGATCTCCTTCATCTGCTTCTACCGCCGCCTCTTCACTACTAAACGCTTCCTTCGCTTCACCTTCTGCCTGAATATCCTCATTACCGCATGGTCTTCCGGTATCTTCATGGCCTGTGCATTGCAATGCCGCCCGCTTCGCGCCTACTGGGATATAAATGTCAAGGGACACTGCTTCAGCGCGACCACTTTCATCATTGTTAATCAGGCTTTCAACGTGGTCATGGACTTTGTCATCCTCGCAGTCCCGATACCTATGATTTGGAGACTGCATCGCTCATGGCAGGATAAGCTGGCGTTGAACGCCGTCTTTGCGCTAGGTGCATTGTGAGTTGCTTTCAGACCGTCAATTAGAAAACCAGTTTCTAATATTTTTTCCCCTTGATAGTGTATGTTTCGCAAGTATATATCGAATAATAGTTCTATTCTACATCGACCTGAAGGACGTGACATGTGAGACTCTTCATGACAAACCAACACATCGAGAAGCAGGTTGACTATGATTAGATACTATCTACGACGCCACTCTATGGACCCATATTGAGCCATCTGTCGGGCTAGTCGTTTCCTGCCTCCCAATCATCCGCGGAATGTTTCCACGATGTACATCGGCGGGTCACAAACAGCGGACGACTTCAAGTTTAGGGCATTCTTCGACCGGCACAACTTGGTCTGGTGGTATTGAGCACGAGCTTTTTGACGGTCGAAAAGGGCTACGAGGCGGGTGTACAATTGGGGGGAGGACCTGTCATCGGTCTGAGAATGCGATTGAACTCGAGAATATAAGGGTGACGACGGATATAGAGGTGCAGATTGGGTGATAACCTTTCTCAAGAAGAAAAAAGTGGGGATTCATTTCGACCACGGTCTATATTAAATGAGCCTTTGGCATAAGCTCCCCCACTCGTTGTATTTCGTGGGTTGAGATCTCCCAACGCCAAAGAAGGGCAGAAAAAGATGGAACGGCGAAGCTGCTCTTGTGTGAAATTCTTTCTCATCCTCTATCTTTGCTGCCTATGGATGCTTGCCATAGATGAAAACTATCGACATGATAATGCTGCATATGTATGGTATCCCTCTACGTCTGAGGGGAGTGGGGGATGCATTGAGGCGTCGTGGTTTTCTAGGGTCGAGCATACCATTTCTCCTGCTACCTCTGCTGTAAGAAAGGCATTGCAGTGCTGACAGCAGTTTGCTTCCTATACTAGTCATCAGGGTTACTCAAAGCTGATGCGAGGCTGAGGACGGGGTTTCAAATAGAACTGTCCAACATCAACAAAGGCCGCATGATCATATTCCGCTATATTACATTCGATTCCGGTTTCTATATACTTTTGATCAGCTGTTATCGCCAAACTAAGAGCAAAAGCATTTTTTAGGGATGCAGTGAGCTGCATATAACTTTGAATCTGGCTTTCGAAGACTGCCATCGGCTCAAAGACCAGTACTATGTTGCGAGGAATTCCCAGAGCTGATATGTTCCCCATGGTTGGAGTCAGTTGGAGATAAACGCTTCAAGCCAAAGGGAAAATATATATTTATCTCGGATACTAGAGATAGTATTCATGCTGTGAACAGTTTTGCTATATGGCATGGTAACATGTACCGGGATTGGAAAAAATGTACAATCATAATGTTAAAGTTTCCAAAACTAAACTCCTATCTCCGCATTCTACATTTTAGTCATTGATATCCTCCCAGTATACTCTATATCATTACTTAAAGTGACTCAACATGCCAAGAATCTAGCTAACACACGAAACGGGGTCTTCTAGGCCTTGGAGAACCCCTTAGCGTCCATATATACGGTCCTCGGACAGCCAATCCGGTCAGAATGTCTGTATAGCTCCATCACCAGCACTGAGTCAAGGTGCGTGAGTCACCGAGTTGTCTTTCCCCAGACTCCATCTGGGGCATCCAAACCTGCAACAGGAAAGAAAAGCCCAGCTGCGACTTCCCCGTAGCGAGCGGCGACAGACTAACCCCGAAGCGGAAAGGTCCGCGCCTCAGGTGATCTCCACGTCCACGGAACGCGCAGCCATTGACCAATCAGATGCCCGGCAATCCGACATCGGCCGGGGAGTGGCAGTCCAACTCCGGATCACGTGCCCCAGAGCAGGCCGATCTCGTCCCCAGCAACCAGTTTATAAAGTTGCAACCGGCTGCTTTCCTCCTCCCTCCTCCCTTTTCCTCTTTCCCATCCAATTTCTTCACTTCCTTTCTTTCCATTTCACCCTCTCCCCTCTTCTTCTCACACCCTCTTCACACAATGGCCTCCCGTGGACTTCCCCGTGCCCTCCGCCTGGCCCGCGTCTCGGCCCCCCGGTCCGTCGTGACTGCTGCTCTCCCCCGTCCCTCCCTGGCCAAGGCTGCCTCCGCCGCTCTCCCCCGTGTGACCGCCACCCCCGTCGTCCCCTCCCGCGGTGTTAAGACCATCACTTTCGCCGATGATAAGGAGACCGTCTACGAGCGTGAGGACTGGCCCCGTGAGAAGCTCCAGGAGTACTTCAAGAACGACACCCTCGCCCTGATCGGCTACGGCTCCCAGGGTCACGGTCAGGGTCTCAACCTCCGTGACCAGGGTCTGAACGTCATTGTCGGTGTCCGTAAGGATGGTGCTTCCTGGAAGGAGGCCATCCAGGACGGCTGGGTTCCCGGCAAGAACCTGTTCGATGTCACCGAGGCTGTCCAGAAGGGTACCATCATCATGAACCTGCTCTCCGACGCCGCTCAGTCCGAGACCTGGCCCACCCTGAAGCCCCTCATCACCAAGGGCAAGACTCTCTACTTCTCCCACGGTTTCTCCCCCGTCTTCAAGGACCTCACCAAGGTCGATGTTCCCTCCGACGTCGACGTCATCCTCGTCGCCCCCAAGGGTTCCGGCCGTACCGTCCGTACCCTTTTCCGTGAGGGCCGTGGTATCAACTCCTCCGTCGCCGTCTTCCAGGACGTCACCGGCCAGGCCAAGGAGCGCGCCATTGCCATGGGTGTCGCCGTCGGTTCCGGCTACCTCTACGAGACCACCTTCGAGAAGGAGGTTTACTCCGACCTGTACGGTGAGCGTGGTTGCCTCATGGGTGGTATCCACGGTATGTTCCTCGCTCAGTACGAGGTCCTCCGTGAGCGTGGCCACTCCCCCTCCGAGGCCTTCAACGAGACCGTCGAGGAGGCTACCCAGTCCCTCTACCCTCTCATCGGTGCCAACGGCATGGACTGGATGTACGCCGCTTGCTCCACCACTGCCCGTCGTGGTGCCCTCGACTGGTCCAACCGCTTCAAGGACAACCTGAAGCCCCTCTTCAACGAGCTCTACGACAGCGTCCGTGATGGCTCCGAGACCAAGCGCTCGCTCGAGTACAACTCCCAGAAGGACTACCGCGAGAAGTACGAGAAGGAGATGCAGGACATCCGTGATCTCGAAATCTGGCGCGCCGGCAAGGCCGTTCGGTACGTTACTACATACCCTCCCCCCATAATACTTATATCAATCGAGCATTTGCTAACAACTTTAATTCTTATAGCTCCCTCCGCCCCGAGAACCAGAAGTAAATCTATTCATAATATGTTATTAGCATATCCCCGGTGGGAAAAGTTACGATGTACCATGATCTAGGGAATTGTTTTTCAGTCGAGTTTCTTATTTTAACTGGGTTGTATATCGGGCCGGAATAAAATTTTTCTTATTCTTTCTTCTTATTCTTTTCCTCAATTGAATATCAATTGTAGTTGTGTGGAGTGGCAGTTGTAGGGAAAGAGGTGGTAATGAGTCATCGACTAGTAAAATTGCAACGGACGGCAGATCATCCGGGCCAGATTTCCCCGCGATCCGATCTGCATTGATGCTGACTTTCTTCTACTTTATTATTCTCATGATTTCCGTTCTTGCTGAGTGCCACTACAGTTAATTGGTGTCTAGAAAGAAAAGGAATAATGAATACAATCTATACACAATGCAACCGAACACCGAAACTATTTATTTCAACGCTTTCATGTCTTCGCTTGGATATTACACAACGGTATATGGATCTAATCCCAGCATCATAAATCCAATTATGCAACCAGCCACTCACTCCACAATCGAAGTTCACTAGTCACGCGCTTTCCTTCTTAGTGCGGATGGCAGGGGCCGGAGCCGGGACGGGGTTGGGGTTGCCCTTCCACTCCAGCTTGCGGGGCTTCATGTACGCCGCCAGCACCTCGTCGGTGACTTCCTTTCTCTTCTCCTGGAACGCAGCAACATACTGCTGCAGCACCTCGATGGTCATCTTCTTGAGCTCACCAGTCAGGAGCTCACCGCTCTTGTAGTTCTTGTAGATCTCTTCCAGCTTGGCGTCGTCCTCCTCGAAGTAGGTAAGGTAGACGTAGGAAACGTCGACGTCGGGGTTTCCACCCAGACGGCGGTGATCCTCGATGCTGACTTGGCCACCGCTGAAGGCGTACTTGTTGATCTTGGTCTGGATTGTGCGTGATCTATTAGTATGCAGAGAGCAGATTAGTGGGGGCTAGCACTCTTACCTTGATCTGCTTGGGAGTGTCGGTCATGAAGATGGCCGAGTTGGGGTCGGAGGAGGACATCTTGCCGCCTGCTCCTTGCAGGGCAGTGAGGAACTTGGAGTGGATCAAGGCGGGCTTGGGGGAGGGGAAACGCATGCGGTGGGCGTTGTCACGGAGCAGACGGAAGTAGGGATCCTGGTCGATACCCATAGGGATCAAGCACTGGATGTTGGCAATCTCCTGGGTACGCTCGGTGGAGGGCTCGTCCTTCCAGATCTCAGGGTAGGAGGTAGCGAAAGCGGCGACACACTGAAGGGAGGGGAAGAAGATGCGACCGATGTTGGTGCTGCGATTTATTAGTCTCCCGATGAAGTTTATATGGATTGGGTAGATTAACATACCTCTCGTTGAAGCCGAACGCACCACGGACTTGGTTGAAAGTGACCAGCTTTCCGAACTCCCAGGCGTTCATGAGGAAGTGGTTGCTGACATACTTCAGGTCGCTGTAAATGAAGGTCTTCTTGAGATCAAATCCCAGGGCAATAATGTCCTTAGCGTTCTCCATGGCGAAGTGCATGGCATCCTCGAACGTTATGCTATCCTTGAACAAAGCCTTCTCGTCGTCCGTAAGCATGAAGACCAAGGGAACGTCGAAAACATCCTGCAGCCACTTGGTGAACTGCAGGGGGATGGTGTGACCCAGGTGCAGACTGCCGGTACTGGGACCACGACCGGTGTAGAGGAAGAAAGGCTCGCCGCGCTCGTAGAGGGTCAGGATGCGGTCGAAGTCACGGTGACTGAAGAACAGGCCGCGTCGGAGCCAGCGATGCGGCTTGTGTCCGGTCACCTTCTCGAAGCGCTCAAGGAGCTTCTCGTCAATAATGGAGGTGTTCCATTTCCTGGAATGAGAGGTGGTTAGGGGGTTGTTGCGTGGACAGCAATCAATAAGTGCTTCAATGGCGGGGTAACACATACCGACAGATGGCCTCATAGTTGATGGCGACCACCTCTCCGTTCTCGTCGCGGGCACCCTCCACGGACCAAGGATTGATATCCTGTTCTTGCGCGGTGTGCGACTGCTCCTCGGCCATGATTGCAATCTGTTCAAGGACTGTGGAGGGGGTTTGGAAAGGAAGCGCAACGAGGGGAAGTGAGTCAGGGAGCGACGAGATGAATCTATTCAGTCTTTCTTTTGCCCCTCCTGCCCTTGCCCGATTCGGCCACAGTCACGTGGCGGGGAAGATGCGGCATGACAGTGCGCTAGTCCTAATCGGGCATTGTTGCTATCGGAGTCAAATGACTGTCCAGCATATGCCGCGCAATAGAGATAATATTTCTGCAAATGAGATTCACTTCAAATTGACCTCAGCCTTAGCTGATGTTCTGCAATCTCAGCTCCTTGCATTTTCCCAGTTTCGACTGTGTTGTCGCAATGCGGGGGTCCGATGGCGGAGATATATTCCCAGCGCCGACTCGGATGCCGCTTATCACCCGGCCTTTTCCCCTCTGCCCTTTTCTCCGCAACTCTATCATACTACTATACCACTGAGTCATCGAAATCAGTACTCTACCATTGGAAGTCAGTCTATAGACAATCAAGTCTTTCAGAATGGCTGATCCTACCGTGCTCGTGCAACCTTTGACCCCTTCAGCTATTCATGATGCCTACTCCCTCATCCAACCCTATGTGCACCGCACGCCTCTCCTCACTTGCCAAACCCTTAACACCATTGCCTCGGCGCCGCAATCTCCGGAGGCATTGACCGGCACCTCCTTTGAGGGCCAAGCTCCTGCCAATCCCAAGTTCCGCTTCTTTTTCAAATGCGAAAACTACCAACGGATAGGTGCCTTCAAGGCCCGAGGAGCCTTCCATGCTCTGTTACGACTCATCACCGAACGGGGGAGGGAGGATGTACAGAAACGGGGTGTTATCACCCACAGCTCTGGTAGGCCTCAACACTCCTTGAATGAAGCGACACATTATTAATCGATTCGTGTAGGAAATCACGCTCAAGCTCTCGCTCTCGCTGCCGCCACTCTTGGTGTTCCCGCCTACATTATCATGCCTAGTATTAGCACACCCTCCAAGATCGCTGGGACGCGCTCCCACGGTGCAGAGGTCATTTTCAGTGGCTCAACGAGCGTCGAGCGCGAAGCTGTCGTCGCTGATGTGCAGGCCAAGACCGGTGCCATTCTGATCCCGCCCTATGACGACTTCAATATCATCTGTGGCCAGGGTACTACGGCTCTCGAGCTTGAGGAGCAGTACAGGGAACTGCTGGACGAGAAGCCCCACCTGAGCATCCGCCAGGGTTCCAAGGCCCTCGATGCTGTCTTCACACCCATCGGCGGAGGCGGTCTCAATTCCGGTGTTGCAACCTTCTTCTCGGACAAGACAACCAAAGTATTTGGTGCGGAACCCAGTTTCGAGGGCGCAGACGACTGCCGGCGCGGACTGGAAGCCGGGGAGCGGGTTCCGGCAGTGTCAACACTGACCATCGCGGACGGCTTGCGGACACCGGTTGGCTTGTTGAACTGGGAGGTGATCTCGAACCGGAACAAGGTCGCTGGCGTATATGCTGTGACGGAGGAGCAGATCAAGGCGGCAATGCGTCTGGTCCTAGAACGCATGAAGGTAGTGGTGGAGCCCAGCGCTGTGGTGGGTTTGGCCGTTTGCCTGTATAACGAGGAGTTCCGACGACTGGTCGAGAAGGAGGCTCCTGAGGGTTGGGATGTGGGCATCGTGTTCAGCGGTGGAAACACCACAGTTGAGGCCATCGGAAAGCTGTTTAGTTGAGAAAGCATGATGAATCGGTCTGGGGCCACTGCCTGAAACACATCTGTACAGTGTACATAGCTAGATGAGAAATGTATCAACCGATGTCGACCCCATCTCTTCCTATGCGAAAGGCGAATTTGCCGCCATTATTTTGTTTTAAGCCCTCGAGGACCCTACGAGGCCATTCATCACGTCTCCATTCATTTACCCATGCGGAAAACCTTCCGCGATTGACAACTTCCTGTCGACGAGGGGCACCGCGCTGCGCATTTTGCGCAGTCATGGTTGGCGGAAAGGGACGAACCGAATCACGTTGGACAACAACTCGTAGAGTTGGGAACCGACCCCAAGGAGCTGGCAGATCAGACCCAAAAGAAGGCGCCTTTGGCACAGAGGGGCGTGGGTTATACAAGTCGTAAGGTCCTGACGGCGTATACGCTGAGTTACCACCATGAGCACCGTGGAATCTTCCTTGAACAGTGGTGGTGTAAACCACCATACAACCTAAAAGTCGCTGTAATCTTTTCAGTTCCGCTACAAAAGCAGCATATAGATCTGAAATCTGGAACCGTCGTTTCCGCGAACGCTCATGCTCCGAGTCAGTATCGACCCGCCCGATATCTTCCACTCGGGCGATTTCGTCTTGTAATCTATCCTGCCAGAAGAACGCATTGGCACTATCCAGGTAGATAGTATGCACGGGTCTGGTGGAGGACAAATGGCGAGATAAGTCAGGAATGTAGGCATCCAGGTTTTGAAGTGTAGCAAGGAGAGCAGCCGATGATTGTGGACGGAAGACGTGGACATGTTGCAGACTGGCGACAAGCATAGTTTCAATATCCTCGTTGTCAGATTCAGATGACATTTCAAATAATTCCTGAGCTAGTGCGTCAATTCTGGCCTTAACAATCCCTCTGACCACTGATATCAGCCTCTCAGCATCAAATCGACCGTCCGTGTCAATGAATATCACTGCCGATCCATGCCCACCGAGCGGGACGCCTTTGAACACGGATGGTAAGATAGCGACTGCAGCGAGGTAGTACAGGAGATGCGACTTTCCAGCTGCAGACAGCTTGCTAGAGATCTCCAGGACTGGTTCTGTGCGGTTGATGTTCAACATCGGCAAACTATGCATGCGTACATGCTCATCGCTGATAAGTTCGCTTTGAGCTGGGAGCTCGGCCTCAGTGCCATAAAAGTCTGCTCCCTGGGCATCCCCAGAATGACCATGTTGCAGCCCCCCTCCCAGATGTATGTTCTGTGCAGCAGGGGCGGGCGTTGTGAAAACACCCAGAAGATCATCAAGCACCTGAACACCCAGTCGGGGGCTCAAGGCATCACTATCACCAATTCCATGTGATAGGTTTCTTAGGTCATGCAGAAGCTTCTCATGTCAGCATCCATTCACACAAGTTTCCAGCGAAAGTATCTACAAAGAACGATAAGGATATGATGCAGAATCACGCAGTAAACCGAAACGTCGATGCATACATACCTCGTCAAGTCTCTCCTCATAGACCTCCCCAAGAAGCTCTCCCCCAAAGTTAGCAGCCATTTGACACAATTGCAATACCCACAAATGTGACAAAGCTCGACATTGTCCAGTGAAATAGAGTGTAAGTAATGGTTGACTCCGACCCTCTTTAGGAGTTGCTAGAATCACAAAACCACCGCGGGCTGACCCGTTGAGACGATAACCTGGTAAGGATGGATCGCGGCGCCGGCGAACGCGAACGCTTCCGCTCCATCCACTTTTCTTCCTTTCCCCAAGTACCACCAGTCTTGCTCGTTATTATTCCCAGCCGCAGAGGAATTGTTCAGGCCACCATACTGAGAGGACATTACTCAGAACCATAATTAGACAACTTTATCACCATGGCTCCTCTTGTCCCCGTTTTCTCCGCCGAGAGCCTTCCAGACCACGTCAACATCGTCACCAAGAACTTCCAAGAGAAGCGTCGCAAAGGCGGCCCTGTCGAGCTGGAGAAATGCAAACTGCTGGAGATGGTCCAATACTCTTGCAATCCGCCCCAAGAAGGGATTCCTAAGCCGGGTGTGGTGAATTGTAAGCCGATTGTGAGGCTGTTTCGCCGGTGAGTTACCCTTTCGCTATCGGCTCGAGGGAAAGGTTCAATGCTGACAGTTACTTCATGCTAGATGCGCTGGCGGATTAACGGTGGAAACGACTGCTTGGGAGCCGATCCGGATAGCGAAAGAAGAAGCGGAGCGCAAACGTGCTGCGGAGAGCAGCTCAACGGCCTGATGGAAGTCCCCTTTCGATTACATGCATGGCAAGGAGTTGGGTTGGCGTTCAGTCTACTGAAACCACAATGGCAGTTAATGCTATGTGATTAACCGATTGAGTTGCATTATTTGACATCCTGCTCCATGGGTATCTTCTCGGTTATGCTACGATGAAAAAGCTGAACGCCTGACGCCTCTGCCTATCCTACACCTCATGATGCATTCACCCAGCTATCCACCCTCGACATATCGGGCGTATCCTTTGCACTTGATAGCTTGTTTTCCTCCGTTCGTCGGCTCCCAGATGTAGGCGCTCGTCGCCACAGGTCTCTCTCGCAGTTTATGATGGGAGGCAGCTCTATGTTCAACGCCAGCTTCGAGCGGGAGGCTTTATCTGCACCAGCTCCCGAGTCGATCTCCATGGGGCCAGCAGAGTCCGGGCCCGTCCCGGGCTTCTGTATCTTCTTTGCGAGTGCTCTAACAGTCTTCTCAAACATTCCATCCATACTCTCCGCTCGTCGTCCCCATTGCTTCTTATCCCGGACCGATGAGCCAGAATTGTTGTCTTTAAACGCCGCACGAGCCAATTTGCGCAGCGCCTCCTCGCCATGCCGACCATCCTCCGTTGCTCGCTCTCGAATGACGCGCGGATCTTGCTCTCGTTCCGTGAAAACCGGTGTGTGACGATACGTGTGTTTACTGGGAAAGTCTGGGAAATGCTTCGGGATATGGGCGTTGTGAGCGCGATCGTCTTCGCCGCTGAGCTGTGGCCCTAAGGAGGGCAAAGTCTTGAACGAGTCCTCTTCCGGCGGAGGACTTGGTAGAAGGGTGGGGATAGGTTCGATGTTTGGCTGGCGTTTTACGTGCGGAAGGAGGTCGCTGACCGGCACGGACTGTCTTTTCAAGGCATATTCGAAATCTTGGGGGATGGGTTGTATGCGCCGGCTGGAAAGCATCGCTTGGCGCACATATGAGGCGAATCTCAGCAGATCTAGTGACCAAATCCATCAATATCATGAACGATTCCTTCTGAGACCTAGGTTTCCCAACGTACATTCCTCTGTTACCCTGCGAAAGGCGTCCAGCGCTGCAGGGTCGGCGATATCAAATCCGCATTCTTGTAGATATTGTCCAATAGATCGGTTGAGGACATGGTCGATGCAGGCCTCGTCGACAATAGCGGGTTCCGGCAACGCTGGGGCGACCGGACTTTGTAGGCGATGGTGATGGTGATAAGGGCGTTTCGTTCGTTTTACATCAGGGGCATCTGGACCTTCTGGTAGGGAGGAAGAGGATCGTTTGACAGTGGGTTCCGAGGAGACCATGGCGCCGGTGGTCTTGATGGATGGATGGGGAGAGATCCAGAAACGGCGCCAAACACAAGAACCGCGTGAGGTCACGTGTATATGCCTGAGGCAGACATCACTACAGCCCAGTCACTGAGCCTCAATGCTCGCTTAGGACTTGATAATACAGAACTACAATAGCAATATCTAGACAATTAAACCAAAATACATAGCCCCATAATTATACCTCCTCGTAAGTCACGTCATAGTTTGGATATCAATAGCCCGTTCGCAGCAGCAACCCACCATCAAAAGTCAGGCCACTCACAGCCGTCGCTTACTACACGCCGGCCCGGAAAGCTTCACCTCGACTTTCACTCTCGACATCACCGCTCGCTTTCCCTCTCCTCTCATCTCCTCTCCGCAACCCCCCACCACCACCCCAGCAGGTCAATTCTTGCGCGAATCTCTTCTACCCGTTTCTCAGATCTGTCTGAAGACACTAATATCTCACAATGGCCTCCGTCGCTCCCATCACCGGCGTACGTCCACCCTTCTCCTACCCAACTCACCCGGGACCACATCCACAACCCCATGGCCTCCCCCAGATTTGGAACCCTACAGGCTAACATTCTGCACTTTAGATGCTCCGCCGTACCCTGGTCCTTGACCTGAGCACCGCTTTCGGTGAGTCCGCCTACGACCCCGCGCTTCCATTGACCCGAGATGTCTTCATATGATTTCCTTCCTACCCATATATTCGAATTGCATACAAGCATTCTTACATCGACATCCGCCCCGCGCGCAAAATACCAACCGGGCCCGACCCAGAAGGACAATTGACTGACTGAATGATTACTTCGCAGGTTTCGGTACCACTTTCGGCTACCTCTGGTGGTACGGTACGTATACGACACAGACCTTCCTTTAATCCCTCCTCCTCCTTCCCTTCCAGCAAACCACTTCCCAGAGGTAATTTAACAGCCACTAACGATAAACCACTATGCAGGCTTCCACCTTCCCCGCGTCCGCGCCCGTGACGACTACTACACCCGCCTCGAGGCCGAGCGCGCTGCTGCCCAGCAGTAAATTCGCAGCGGCTACGCAAATGCATTCGACTTCGCGCGTTGATTGGGGGGCTCCCAATGTACCTCGTTAATTATGCCGGATGGAACCGGGATGCGTCAGCTACGTGATTTGGGAGAAGTGAATGTGAGGAATGTGTAGCTGATAGGATGTGATCGATCGATTGATATTGTTTTTGTGTGTCTGGTATATAGCGTGGGCATTGGGTTGGGTTTCCGGTTGATGCTGCGAGTTGAATGTGTTTGTGCTTGTGTGTGTGGATTGAAAGAATAGAAGAAGGGAAGAAAGAAGAACGTTTCCTCGAGTGTTTAATTGTCTGTTGTATATACGCTTGTACTCATACATGCGGTTGTTTGGGATTATCTGGTTGGCTGTTCTTGTGTTCGTCGTAGGGAGGGAGATTCAGTGGTTTGTAGGTTGTAGTGAGGGTCAGGTGTAGCTATGTTACTCGGCAGCATTTGATAAAAATGTGTTCATTTCTTTCATTCATAAGCAGGGAATCTATCCAGTCGCTAATTAATCCAAGTGGAAATGTAGGCCATGCACGTAAAACTCCCCAAATCAACACACAAACACGGACACACACACACAGCATCCACCACAACCACCACCATTATACCCCCTGCCCATCAGGCAAGAGCAACCAACTGATATCAACTACTACCTACCAACCACACAGGGGCAGGCCAGGCTGGTCCACCATTCACAGCATAACACGCTCATACTGTATCCCCCTCACACTACCACCACCCATCGATGTCCTAACATTGCGCTTGAACGCCTCCCGGTTCTGTCTCAGATCGTCGGCGGCCTCCTTGTTCAGCGGATCGGAAGCATTCGGCTCGAGGAAGAGGAACTAAACACAGCGTAAAAAGATTAACACCCCAATCCTCCACAAATCAAGAAGACCAAGATATAAAAGCGAGAGGAATTCATACCTGCATCCCCACAATAACCGCATTCAAATTCAACACGGGCTTCCAATCCTCCCTCAGAATATTCAGACACACATTCCCCTCAAGGTCAATATTCGGATGGTAGATCTTCTGCGTACACTTGACCTTGGGAGGATCATGCGGAAAGTTCTGGTTGACCGTGAAGTTGAAGTGGAAAGCGCCGCCCTTGTACATGCCCTCGTCCGGTTCGATAGTGAGAGTGAAGTTGAGGATATCGTCTGGGTTCGGGAAGGACATTTTCATTGTACTTCCGAGGGTGAGTTCTTGCAGGTCTGTCTCATATTTCGATTTTGATGTTAGTGCAATGTCCTAGTGGGTATTGTTTGAGAGAGTGTAGTAGGGTATGTAGGTAGGCAGGGACATTCAGACCTCGTTGCACGCGCAGTTGAGCGGCGGTGACCTTCTTCTTCTTTTTACCGGCAGCTCCTTCGGCATTCTCAGCTTGCTGCTGCTGTTGTTTCTGTTTGAGAGGGTGTTAGTGAGGTGGAAAGAGGGTACATATGGGTGGGTTGGTTGGTAGGTGGATGGATGGGAGTCAGTCGCGACGTACCATAGACCATATCTTCAACATCGTGGCTGATCTTGCGGGCTCGCGATCACCTGTGTGTGGGTTTGGTAGGATATAGAATTATTTGTAAAGATCTGGGTCTAGGGATTGTGGTATGGGTCGCTATCCTAGAATCTTCGTAGTCGTTGAGTGGGTGAAGAGGGGAGGAAAGGCTGCGGGGTGCTTTCGTTGGTCGGTACAACTAATCTCCACTTCAGCGTAGAGGGAACGATGGCAAGACAGGAGGAGCCAGCCCTTTATCTCAACGTAGACAGGTGGCAGGCCACGACAGAAGAAGGGTGTTTGTATTAATGCGTGTAGAAAGGGAACAGAGTGATTATCAGAGACAAATGATAGCCGGACTGCCGCAGAAAGCGGGCGGCGGCCTGACGCCATGGGCCACCCATTGCACCACCACCGCCTGCCCGTACCAGTTGCCACTCAGGATGCCCATATCCGCGGTCTTTTACATTCTTTCTTCCTATCGTTCATTATTTGGCCATGCGACTTCTTGTTATTATGAGGGTTTCATTTCGAACATTATCTGTGGGAGTCCCCGCGTAAAACAGTCAACCGATCGCCTTCCACGCCCTTGAATACATCCCATTTCTAATGCGCTAAGAGTCTACAAAACATTGTCGTGCCTGCAGTCCCTATGAAATGTGCAAATCCAACCTGAAACAAAACACAGCCGAACCTGGGAAACAAAGAATAAACATCGTATGTAGAATACAAAATTGCGACAAAAATGTGCCAAGAATAACTCCACGAGGCCTCTGCCGGCCATGAGCAAAGCACCCCTCATTGACAACTTTTCGTTCATTATGCTGCGCACCTTCTCTAGCGGCGGGCGAAGCAACACATCACACCGGTCTTACCCAGGAACCAGCAAGCTCCAATGAAGCGGAATAGCGCGACAACGGCGTTGGACCACAGTAGAGCCTGGAAGAAACGTGATGTACGATCGGTGGCAGAGTTCTGCATGAAGCCGTTAGTTTCGTCTTTTGGAACATCGGGAGTCGGTTTATTGCAGAAGATATACATACCGTGAAGCCAAACTTATCCACACCATCGCTGGTGATGCAAACAGCCATCAGAGCGTTACTGAAGATCCAGAATGTTACCAGTCTCGTACGGAAGCTCTTGTACGAGTCATCCAAACTCTTCTCTTCCTTCTCTTCGGGAGCCACATATGGTGTCAAAGCACGCTTCACCGTAGCTTCAAACTGGCTGTCAATATCGGCTTGAGGCTTGTCAATTTCCTCAATGACAGTTTCCTTGCCTCCTTCCTTGGTCGTCTTCGCGGAGGGAAGAGCATCCGCCTTATCAGAACCCTTGGTACCCCAGGACACATCGTGCCAGTTGCTGAAGGCATACACGTTGAGGATGTTGATGTAAGAAGACTGCACGGCCATGTACTGAGGGAAGGAGGTGAACATGTGCCACGGGTCCATGTACATGAACGAAGCGACGAAGTACAGACCGAAAGTGGCAGCAAGCGCGATGATAATGATACCGGCACCGGTCGACCCGAAGAACGAACCAAGGAACGCACCAACACCGTGCGTGGTGTCGAAGTCCATCGGAGCGCTGCCGCTGAAAGCGCGGACTACCAGGTAAAGTGCATCGACGACAACGTAGAGTTGAATGATACCGAAAACAACGAAAGATGCGAGGTACGAGAACCGAGAACCCTTGGGGCGGTTACCCAAAGCCAGAATGAACTGGAGGAGCAGGAAACCAAGGTAGGCATATTTGACGATGGTGTTGACAATGGGAGTTGCCGTCTTGCCAAAGGGGAAACCAGTGTGACCGTTGCTAGCGCTAGGAGTACCGACCAGGTCCATGATAACCGATGTTGTAAGCCAGTAGGAAGCTAGTTGCTAAAGTCAGTAAAGTCCTCAAGTTTGTGCGATAGTCGAATGGAACCACTTAACGTACCCAGGGAGAACCATGTAAGAATCGTGGAGAAAGTGTTGTACAGCATCTGAATATGAAGGAAGAACATCCGAATGATGTTGTGGCCACTCTTGTACATACGTCCGAAGTGCATGAGCGAATAGATACCGGCTGCGAAGGATCCGTTCAACCAACGACGACGCTGCGAGATGAACTCCGCAGCACCTTCAGGCACGTCAGTTTCACCCTTCGAGGCTTTAACATATGACAGATGCCACTTGGAGCCAGCCTTAGCAACCAGCTCGAAACACAAGATACGGTCCTCGGCCAAGAACATGTTCTTCTTGAAAATGTTCATTCCCTCGATACCCTTCTTACCCAGCTGTTTGGAGAGGGTATGATCACCATGGAAATACTGCTCCAATGGACGACCCATGATTGCACGGAATCGGTATGCGGAGAAAGCACCAGGCAACACACTGACATAACCGAAAGAACTCTCCAACGGCTTGTCCAGAATGTTACTGATCTTGTATTCGAAATTCTGGGCTGCCACGAGAGGGTTGATCAGGTTTCTCCAACCCTTACCCAACATGGCGTGGATTTCACCACAAGCACCTCCGAGATCCTTGTCGTTGTAGAAGGCCTCCCACAGGGCCAGAAGTGACTTGTGTCCAGGCTTGGTACCAGCATCGAGAAGAATGCAGACCTCGGGGTTCAGGATACGGCCGAAAGCATTGAAAAGCCATCTATGAGAGTTGATCTTTTTGCTGTTCTTCTGCTTCAAACAGAACATCATCTGAACCGGGGGTAGCGTGCTGGGGCCGTCATCTGTCGGGCGAATGAGCTGCTGGTTGGGGGTAACGGATAATTGCGTCGTGTATTCGAACTATCAGGTGTTAGCAATCTTCACATGTGTATATTCTCGGGTTGCGCATACGATGTGGGCAACGGTTTCCTTTCCGTCAACATCACGCTTCATCACGCCATCCTGGTAAATACCAACGGTGGCCAAAACATCCAGCACATCCTTGTCACAGGGGTCGATACCATCGAAAACCAAGCAGACCACAATCTTTTGCCAGGCCGGCCCACCCTTGTTCCAGAACTCGGACTTCTTTAAGTTCACAATGTCACGGATGTTTTGCATGACACCATGGAGCGTACGGGCTGTAAGAGTCTTGTCTTCATTATAATACGTGATAGCAATCAACAACTCGGTGTGTCTGTTGTACATGGCAGGACGAAGGTTGTAGCCATTGTGAAGGGTAAACTCATTAGGATCACATGTGGCCGCGGTGTCTATACCCAGGAGAATTCTCCATTAGTTCCGAGAAGCTGCATGATTGGGCCCTGCGGTAACTTACATCGCATGTGTGTGAATTCTTCGCTTCCGCCCTCCAGGTCGTTCCTATACTTTGCCTGGATTGCATTTTGGATAGCACTAGGCACCGGGTAGTCAACACTCAGGACTGAGCCCTGCACAAGCTTGACCTTTCTGGTAGCGTAGCGGCGCAGACCACCACCGCCGCCACCACTACCTGCACCTCCAGGGGCCTGTCTCTGGCGCCAAGCCTCTGTTGACGAGGTTTCGCTACGAGCATAGGGCGAAGCAACACGGCCGGGGACGCCAAAGGCAGCCGCGGGGTTCTCTCCAGACTGTGCAGAGTAAACAGAGCCACCTGCACTGTAGGGATCATGATAACCCGCATCGGCAGCATATGTCTCGGTCAAGCTGTATCCAGAGGTGGGCCGAGCCGGGGACAGATTGCGCTGCTGGGGGTCATCAAAAGGACCTGTGAATGGGCCTGTTTGGCTCGATAGCAATCCTCTAGACGCTTCTTCTTCATACTAGAGATCATCCAGGTTTTCGTGTTATTGATTGTTTCGTCCAGGCGCGATGCCACACGGCCACTAGAAATGAAAACTTACGTTGTTTCCAGCCGGTAGATCCTGGAGCCGATGACCACCGTCATCGTAGCCGGGAGGCGAGTGATTACCAGTGCCTTGGTAGGCCATGGTTGTTGAACGAGATTAAAGTCGTATTATGTGTGAACTGAATTCGGACGCTCAAGCAAAGCCCCGTGGGAACAGAATGCAAGGATGGCGCAAGAAGCAATGAGGCGTGAGGGTATCAGGGAAACAAGGAGCAAGGAGTGCACCGACTGGGGAAGTCAGACAACGGAGCAAGTAAATAAAGCGGGCAACCACCCCAAGCGCGGAGGGAGCAGACAAACAAGCGCTCAAATGACCGGGGATGCGCGAGAGGGTAGAAACGAGCGAAGGGGGAACGAACAGTTGAAAGGAAAACTGGTCGAAGGGCGCGAGCAACAGCAGAAACGTGAAAAAGCCGCCAGGGCTGAGCAGAGGTACCTTGCGATCGCAGGTGATGGATGAGGGAAGAAGCTCGGGAAGCCCGTCTGACCGTGGCGGACAAGAAGGGTTGGGGTTTTGGGTGAAAGGGTTTCCCAAAACAAAGCTGGGAGGGGCAGGAGGAGGATGAGAAGGGAAAGAAAGAGGAAGAGAGAAGTGAGACTGGGCGGGATGGGGATGGACGAGAAGGTCTCAGGATAGAAAAGGGTAAAAAAGAAAAAATTAGGAAGAGAAGGGAAGAAAAGGGAAAAAAAAAGCCCAGAAAGGCACGACAAGCTGAGAGCGACAGCTTTCCTTTCAAATGGTAATGGTCAAGGGTCGCCCTGGCGGTTTTTTTTTTTTTTGGGTTGGCAGTGTTCGAGACGGGGGTGGAAAGTCTTGGGGGGGGGAGGTGGTGTGGGTAATTGGATTCCTAACCAAAAGGCTGGATACACTTGAGATCTCCCTGCGATCACGGCGGATACCGATGATGGCTGCTGGCTTACTAGTCGATCAAAATCCTAATTATTGTCACTTGTCTGTCTTTCATGTCTTACTTGTTGTCCTTTGATCTACCACCTGAAAAGAGTGAAGATGAGAAGAGTATTTCTAACTATTCACAGGTTCTTGTTATGTCCATTCACAAAAATAAAATAAAAAAGGAAACCCAGACAACGCCTTGTTGGGGAAAGGGAATGATTTGCTGGGCTGTTTGGCCATTTCCTCTTTGGTATCCCCTCATATTTCTTCTTTTGACCGCAAGGTTGGGCAGGCTATTGCCCACGGATCGTCTCCTGCATCATATTCTTCCATCTTTCCTTCCAGACTCTTTCTCCTACTTACTTACTGTGGACAGAGCGAGCAGAGCCACTCGCAGTAATTTTTCTTGTCAATACATAACGCCCCCCTGACTGTTACAAGTTGAGGGCATTGTTCTGCTCCCCTCCTTGGCTCTTTGCTCCGCACTTCCAGTGTTATGTATTTAAAATTATCAAGGGTCTGAACCCTGATTACGGGCCAGTGGATATGGACCCTGGTCCACTTGAGTTTCTTTGCTTTACCGCATTACCCTGAAAACACAACCTTTCCCGTCCCGTATTGTCACTGTATCCCTGCCAGGTACCATGTAATACCCTGCCTTAGTCGGTGGCTGTGTGTGGCATGGCGGTCAAGTACCTAGTAGTACTAAGTAAGTCTACACCGTGTTCTATTGAGGATTCCGATGGATTTCATTCTTGCCACCCCATGGCACTTCTTGCATTGCTATCACGTCCTGCTCGTATCATGCAGTGGTTATCAGACGCGTGCTGCAATAACATCCAACAATTGGTAATAATGATGTCGAAGCATAGCATAAGGTGGCTTGACGATAGGGAGTTAAGATAACTTCCAAGGTCCTGTTGACCTCGAAAGTATGGACATTCCACATCCCTCGCCAGCATAACTGGGATACCTACAACAAACAACATCAGCCACCAATAGTCAGCAATGGACGGGCCCTAAATCTTCAGATTGAATTCCCCCTTCCCAGTAAGATCATAGATTCCGCTTACTTACTGTAGAGAGCTGTCATTGATCTTACCTAGTAGATTGCTTGTTGCCAAACACGAAACATCGCCCCCAAAAAAGTGCCCCCAAACTGGCCCCCATACTGTAGTGCCAGCTGCCCGTCTGCCATAGTAACCAGTAGTCAAAAGTGACCTATCGGAGATCGGAGAACTAATTGCGGCTGGTATTGGAGAGGTTTGGTATCGCCGAAATACAGAACATACGGCGAATGTTTCAGGGGGCGGGGCTCACCCAAAAAGGTCTAAACTCCCTAAAACTCCCCCAGCCAAATATAGGCTTGTGGGGAACTCAAGACTCCCTTCACTAGGGGCCTCAAGACCGTGTTTATCAGCCGTTGGTCAATCAGGAGCCACCCAGCGACGCTAGCCTGGAATCCTTAATTTTGCCAAGGTCACACTGGAGCATTGAAAGACAGTCAAAGCCCAATAAGCGGTTGGAGGGGTCATGCTCACTGGTCAGCCGCGGTTTCAAAGCGGCTGGCAATTGTTGAGAGTAGTGCTGATATTAGGTAATGGCCAGCATGTCCACAGTCCACACACTCTCACATCCTTTTTCTTTTTTCTTGGTTTGGTTTTTTTTCTTTTTCTTTTGCAAGCCATCATTTGATGCCACTGGTCAGCTCTCTGCCATGGTCAATGATCATCACTGCCACAGAAAGCTATGGCGCTCAGGGGACTAAACCCTCATCGGGGTTAGCTTCAAGCTCTCTATATCCTATCTTTAGCACCCGGTGACAACACAGTCGCCCTTGTCCCGTGAATCGCGAGTCAGACGATGTGGCACTCTCCAAAGGCGCGACAAAGTCGCACAGAATTTCCCTGGCTCGCGAATCGGCATCCCTGAAGCCCTGGACTGGCAGAATTTGCCTCTTATTTGGCTATACTTTTGAGTAGCACACGAACGGCGGGAATACCGGTTCTCTTACATCAGAAAAGTCGCCACGCTGGAAGGTCGTCGGGTAGTTCCGCTTTGTCTGAACCTTAGAATGTGATTCTTACTTCAAGGGTTACAACCGATATTACAAACTGTGGTCACTCCCATCCGCTGGGCTGTTGTAACCTAATCAAATTAATACGATAAGATTGCAACGTAGTAGTACCGTAGCTTAAATCAGTAATAAAGAAAAGTAGCTAATATCTTCATCAAAACCCAGTATTGTTTTCCTATCTATGCTTAGTATATGCTTAGTCTGTTCTCACATAATTAAATCTCCGAACACTGAGTTGTCCCGCAGTCCACATACAGGCAGCGAGGAGAGTTGCTTGATGCAAGATCACATGTACGCGATAGGCTCAGATCTCTACACATGTGAAAGCCAAGCAAATGCATGTACTAAGTAGAATGTGCGTCGTGAAGGGCATCTATTGCGGCAGTGTATACATGGTAGTTATCCCACTGCAGCCACTGGGTCCATTTACTAGCGGCGGGATATATATAGAGCAAGACCCTCGGTACCACTACTACCACTTAGTCCCAAAGGCTAAGCGCAGAAGCATTCACTATTGGCCGCTTGTCTCGGGAATGAGAGACAGATCGTCAGCGGCTACTGAGAACTAAGTAACGACTTCGGTTGAGAGTAAGACATAAAGCGGTGTATTAAGCTGAATACGGAGATCCTTTCAATTAGCTGATAGCACCGTCGACACGAAACTCAGGGATGGAAAATTTAGCCACAGAAAGGGAAGTACTTGAAAAGAAGACCCAGACAGGAGAAGTATGCATATCGTAACGAGCGACGGGCGCAGTCTCGGGCTGTTCTGATCGTGCATGACTCGTGCGAAAGTTCTATGCATGTACCCTTTTGCATGCTTCGGGCACTGCTGGATATGCGCGTTGCGGTAGATGCTTGGTGGAATATGCTTGTTTGTACGGAGTACTACTAGACTTGCTGTTGTTTTTACCATATCGTTGTATTATGGGTCAGCAGCTGACCAATACGTCCTTGAGGAAATTCTGAAACAGCGACACAATAATCTACTACTATAGTACCAAAAATTGAATTTCGTTGAAGTACTTAGTATTATATATTTTGGCCGGTGCAGAAGTTAGCATACTATCTTTCAGTCCATTCATGCACCAAAAATAAACATTCAATGTTAAGTAACCGTTATATATTAGCGTACGGCTAGTACTATAAGAATATATAGATTAGTTGTTGCCACAATTTCTTTTTTATATATTTCATCAAGCTCAATTGCAGATAAATTGGATAGTAGCTCTTGTTTACTGCATGGCTCAATCCAGTTTAATCAATTTCTTGGCAGTAATGTGAACCTCTCCTACTACACAACCACGAGCACAGGCTAGCCTCCATTTTCTGTATCTTTTGACGCCACAGAGACTGACTTGCCCTCTCCTTTCATAGTCAGAAATGGGTATCAAAAGTTTCTGCCGCGAGTATTTCGTCAATGTTAGAGTTGCTATCCCTTGCTAGTATGCTTAAAAGTTTGATGTACCCTTACTATCAGGTTGACAGTAGTAGCGAATATTCGAGACACGAAGTAAAGCGGAGGTACATAGTGCTCCTATTATCTTACCATGAGAGGGATCAATTGCCGCGTTCTTGGGCTTTCTGGGTCGAGTTTGTAGCTATCTAGACTCTCGAAGAGAGGAATACCAGGAGGTGAAAGGCCGTGGGTAAGACAAGATAAGTGAAAGATCCGGTGAAGTGCCTGTTAACAGGAGAAGTTCCAATACGGTTCACGATATATTCGGGTGAAGCCTCGCATTTTCCTATACTATATAATCTCTCTGCAGCGCAACCAGCAGCCGCCTTCCAACATCTTCAAATATCCCGAATCCAGCTTATAAAAAGCCAAAGGTCCCAGATCTTACCACCTTCATCAAATAAAAGCCAGCTCATACTCCTGGGTAGTATGAGGGATCCGAGAACTTTACCAATATCTTGATCGAGAACTTGTTAGCGAGATATCGTAGAACTTTCTTCACCTTATCACAAAGATCGACCGTACAAATCGGTGAGATACTCGTAAATCTTAGTATAGGAGGTCGCTAGGTCTTCAGACAAGCTATCGATAAACAACCACATGATACTGATGGAAATGGATGAAGAGGTCGAATACCATTCATCTCCCCTTGCACAAATAGGGTGCTGAGCCCCAGTTAATATATTAATCATCAAAGTATGAGGAAAATACACTAAAAACATGGTACAACAACACGAAACGCACCTGCACCTGCTGCACAGCAGTACTTAGCACATAACAACCATGGACGATCCTCAGGCCACCAACCTGGAGGATGGAAAACTGATAACAACCTAAGGGTAGTAAATATGTCGAGCTTTCACTAGGACTCTCAATATCTACTAGACGCTCACCCAGCAACGCTCATGTCAACACAACGGCATCTGCAACCTAATACCACTACTCGGCGACACCCATGATCAACCGAGTCATCGACCCTGCCGGCTGCTCATCGATCCTACATCGCGGACAGAGTGGAATGCGATTGACGACGGGGGATGATGCTGCAGGATACACCCCTCTGGCTGATGTCACCGAAACGCATGAGAGCCCTGTGCGAGAAAGACCATCTGGCACGCTCGATCTCACCATCAATTCTTTCGTTTTCTAGTTCTCGTCGGGGTCGCGAACGTTAGTATTCAGGTCATCCCTGGATTGTGGTTGGATTGAAGGGAAATTTGTGCTGCAATAATACTTTAGATGTTACATGTGGGCAGGCTTTCAACAATACCTTGCTGATATTTATGTCTGTAGCACTATATACTGGAGGAGGTATGCTGTATGCAAGAGCACACATTATCATCGAATAATCTGCTTTAATGACTATATATCTTCATATAACTATATTTGGCTAGCATTTGTGTCATCTTCGACAAGATAAACCTAACTACGTAACTAGCCATCTTCATCAGACGCTTAGTAAGTCTCATTTGAAGGATTCATGCAGATGTCAGACGAAAGGCTTATCCATTAGGGGCCGAAGAACAGACAGATGAATACTGCATTACACTAATCACTATATATATCCAAATGATAGTTATCTCGCACAAGAGACTGCCATATTTTAATACTCGGTAGTAGGATGTTTTTACATAGCCTAAATATACTGGTGGCTTCCGAGCCTACATATAATACTCTCCTGATGTATCTCAGCAACGATCTTTTCACAGATGTTGAGTCCGATGATGGAATCTACAGCTCCTCTCTTAGTAAAGCTTCCTGGTAGATCTACTAACTAGTAAATACCGAAATAGTGTTGGATTGACATCCAGGGGAAGATGACGCTTTGTCAAGCTCAGGGCCAAATCATGCCATCTGACCAGTCAGAGGCACAGAATTTGCATTCAGGGGATGGCCCCAAAGATGACCGTGGCCCCCCCTTGAACCAGCCAACAACCGGGGTATGCGAGTAAGAAAGTAAATAATGTACAGAAATCAATTTATTCTCCATATTTGATAGTCCAGTCAATGTCTGGTGGAGGCTATCGAATGGTCGACTGTTGGACGATGGCAAGCTAAGCACATGCCAAGAGAAAAGGGAGAGGGAGAGCGGATATGACACTATTGAAATGTCATTTCTGTCAAATCAATAATATGCATATGGTTTGACAGCCTATGGAGAAAGCACAGATCTATTGAAGACTCGGCATGAATATTGATTAATTTCATATCCACCAGATAATATGGGACTGGGGGCCATCGGGACCCAACTCCGGATTATACCAGTATGGCAGCAGGTGCAGAGTGAGTATTGCTGTGTATACAAAGTATGGTTGACCCTGAGGCTGGAATTTCACGATAGGCCCTTCATGTTATTTCATGTTATTGTCATTAAGCTTCTAGTCCACTCATGTAAATCTCTGCCAAAAGTTGAAGAGAATAACGGTCAGTGGTGGCATGGACTGGTCTGTCGGGATCGAGACCGGATGACGCGTGGCTTGAGCCATTCGAACCCGCTCATTGGCGTTCTGGCCGTTCTCATTACAGTAGTAGTAGGCCGGTCGAACATGTGTTCCTTCAGTCTTAGTGATTAGTCGACTTCCCTACGTACTCCTGTATGGATAATAATCACCCCCAACTGGAATACTACTATGATTGACTATTGGGGCTAGCTGACAAGTCTCACCATGGACCTGACATCTGGTGCTATGGTAAAGGCCAAGTCCTTAACGGTCGGCTGTTTGCGGGAAAGACAGACTAGCCCAAGTGCCGGTGACAGGAATAGGCGAGTCCAATGGTGGAAAGAGGAAGAAGAAGCAGAAGCAGAATGGGCATCTAATCTCGATTAATGAGTTAATCAAATGGATCATCTCGTCTGCCGTGCCTGAGGCTGCGGGTGGGTGTGCAGCGGCCTCATGATTCGACCAGACATCCCGTGTTAATTTCCGGGCGAAGGAATCCAACGTGGGCTGGAGGTTCGAGACCATCCAGTCCAGGCACGGCCGGCCGTGCCTGGCACACATCCAGAGGATAATTGGTTGCACTTGAGACACCCGATGTAAGGAATCATGGGGCATGATGGGAACCCTCCTCCACCGTTCCGTATATGCCAGGGGAGGGTGGTTTATGTGGTAGACTAGGCATCTTTGTTGCAGCAGCGCACAGAGGCATGTAGCCATGTACATCCAGTAGGCGACCGACCCGTTCATCTTCCCCCCTCTCTCTGCACGATCGGCTGGATAGGATTTCCCATTATCCCCTCTTCAAGAATAATTCTCCAATAGTTTGATCGATTTTCCTTCCGGAGAGGGGGATGCTAGTAGGACAAGTATCTCGCAGAATTCGCTATAGTCGGTCAATATTCCGGCACTATTCCGGACTACTAAGTCTCCTATTGACAATGGCTGGTGTGCCGCTCGCTGGTCGGGTTAATTGCGTTCGTTCCACGCCATGGAGCAGTGATCCGGCCTGTGCGATGGGCTGGAAGAAGACGGGAAGACAAACATGTAGATAGATGGGCTAGACTTTTTGATGTGGTTCTTCGTTGATGCTGAATGGTGAGGGGAGATGAAGATGAGGGTCAACCCATCTTTTGGGAGGAACCAACATTGGACAGTCCATAGATTGACTGAAGGAAGATAAAATGAATGGGGATTGCCTTGGTTCCCCTCCCCTGCGTGAACCGTGGCAGTAAGTGGCAGGAGTGAGTGGGCATAAGCATCACAGCCCAGCACTAAACCCAACCGAGTCAGGCCTTCGCCCTCTCCGCGTCTCCCGCCCACCACCCCCTTCCACTTCCACACACCCACACCCACCACCACCACCACTTTCAGTCGTTTGTCTGCTTACTTCCTCGTTCCCTTTCGGTTTGTTCGAATTCCTATTATTATCGGTCATTTCTTTCTTTCGACTTTCACTCATTTACTTCTGCTTCTGCTTCTTCTTCCTCCCTCCCTCTCTCTCTCTCTTCCTTTTTGATCCTTTAGCTCCTTTCTCTTCCTTTTCGGCCATCAACTCATTCTCCCCCTCGTCCTCCTCTCCCCAACCCCCGGACATACCGCCTTCATTCTCCTCCTGTCATCTCGATCTCCCCTGAATCCATTGTCCCTGCGGTGGTTCTGTACCTGGCAGCCACCAACGCGTGTTTCTCCGACGTCAACCCCAGCGACCTATCAAATATCAACTGCCACTGGGGTTGAATTGTCCATCGCACTGACTGTCCAAAACGCCCGACTGGGAGAATCATCTACCGCCTCACCTCAACGGAGATCCACCTTAGATCGCATACTATGACCGTTGTTGCCTACCGTCCGCCGACCGTCTTCCCTACCACCGACATCCGTTCGCTTGTCTAAAATCACCCATCCTCCTTTTGATGACCTCGTAACCACCCTCACGACTTGACGTCCGTTGAGAACCCACACTCTTTTACCAGATTTACTACATTCTGCACGTTCGCTTTGCCGTTGATCGGCCTGCCACTCTTTTCTCGCCCATTTGAAGCAGCAGCGTTTTATCACGACCCAACCTTATACCTCCTTGTTTTTCATCCCTTCGCCGTGACCCATTTTCAAACTCACATCTTACCTTTCATCATGTCTTTCCATATTCCCGATACATCCTCCCCCAATGGTATGTCTTCTACCTGGTCTGGATCACACTCCAAATACTGACATGCTCGTGTTGAAGTCTTGTACGCCCGCTCCCTTCTGTCCTTCAGAAGTTGTGTGTCATGCCCCTCTACATCGCCGTCTTGCCCGGCCTGCGACGATGGCTATACATGTACGATGACTAGTCAGTCATGTTCTGCGTGTGCCAGCACCCAATGTGTCAAGTCCCCAACGTCTAGCGACAGCTCCAGTTCAAACAACTCGGGTGGAGGAGGCAGCGACGCCGGAGCGATTGCGGGAGGAGTCATTGGTGGTATTGCATTCATTGCGATTGTGACGTTCCTCGTGTGGTGGTTCTTCATCCGGAAGAAGCGCCAGGAACAGGCAGCCAGTGTGGCAGAAAAGGCCAGCACATTCAATGACGCCCGACAGTCGAGAAAATCGACCCATTCGATCGCATCTACCGTCCTAACTCGCGCCTCCAATGTCATTCAAATCGCGTATATTCCCGGTGTTACCAACCGTTCGCCTCCAGAAACCCCAGGCCACCTCGTGCCGCCTGTTCCTCCGTTGCCCGGTGCCCACCCGGATCAGCACTTCTTCATGCCCGGCGATCTCCGCGACTCCACATGGTCGGAAATGTCGAACGAACGCCGCAGCATCGCTCCCAGTTTGCGCAGCAGTGTGGCCACCACTATCTACCGGAACAATGCCATCGTCAGCCCGATGCCTGCACAACAGGTCATGCGCACACGGGCGGCGGTGGTCAACATCAACGGAGCCGCGGATGCGCCCGCTGTTCCCGCCATCACCCAGGCACAACTCGCCAAGGCAGGCGTCACCACGACTACCAGCAACAGTTCGATTGTCGCACGCACTGTTACCGCCAAGCCGGTTATGGTGAGAGGTGCCTCGAAGAAGAAGAACAACAACGCTTCTGCGTCTCCCGCCGTCCAGACCATCGAGGAGCAACCAGAGACAAATAGTGCGGCTGCTTCCAAGTCGCCTAGTACCCAAGAAAAGGAAGAGACGCCTACCTCAGGCTTCGACGAAAACTCCTCGGATGAAGAAGACTCGGCGCCGAAGACGACTCCGGCACAGAACACCAACAAGACAGAGACAGCTAAGGAGGAGACACAATCACGACCCGCTACCGTGATTGAAGACTCGCCAGCCGTCAGCCAGAGCCCTTTCAAGGATCAACCCACAGAGACCGATCGCCGAGCGTCTGCCCGAGCGTCATCTCTGCTCGAGAGACCCGAAGGCACCCAGTCTAACCGAAGCAGTCGACACCTCCCACCCCGCGTCGAGAGCCCATTCTCTGACGCCAACGAGGTGAAATGATCTGCACGCTCTTTCCTATATGTCTGATTTATCTGCGTTTGAGAACCCTTTCATTTGGATGGCGACAAATGGCGCAAAGTGATTAGCAGTTGGCCCTATGGGGAGCCCCTACTTTCTTGTATCTATGATTTATGCTTCTTGACTCTTGGATCCCTATCGGTCTACTAGAATTGCCACACAGTGGCTTTCAAATTGAACATCTATATATGAAGACTATACAATTCCACCAGAAGATAAATAAGCCGAAGACAATGGACGCACGTGGACTGCTGCTCAGGTCTAGCTCCTTACCAAACACCATACTCCCTTGTAACATGATATCGTATATCTAGTCTTTCACTTCCTTAAGTAACAGTTATACTCATCTTAACAACCACAAGGCTCACCCCCACTCCCACCTCTTTCCACATCAAATCTCACCCCTCCTCACCCTCAAAAACCACCACACCCCCGGGCCACCACGGAATATTCACATGCACCCTATCATCCTGCCCAATAGTCAAACAAACCCTCTTGCCGACCAGATCAAACTCCGGATACGCATACGTGAGCCTCGCCTTCTCCGGCACCTCCCAACACCTCGTAATGACCGCCTCCCGATACTGCAACTCATTGCCATCCCTCAAGACCATCCCTGTAAGTGCCGCAGAATCCCTCGCATAGTCCACGTCCCCGGCTGCAAGCGCAACATGCTCTTCCAGCGCGATGACCTTCTCCGCCATGATGGCACATAATTGGCTACTGAAGACGCCTTCCTGCCGGGAACAGGAGCGGAGAAGCTCGACGGCTTCGCGCCGGGTGAGGGGGTCGCGACATAACGTGGCGGTTGTGTAGAGGGGGGCGATGATGCCGAGGTCGAGGGAGAAGGTGGGATTTAATGTGGTGGTGGGTGATGATAATGATGATGATGATGGGCTGGACATCTGCACGACGGATTTCGATAACGAGATGATTTGTTTGAAAATAGGGTTGAATCTATCCCAGATTGTGGAGTCGGAGGAGCCCGAGTTGTATTGTTCGAGCATCATGGTGTATTCGAGACGGTGGATTTGGAGGATTTTGAGACCGATTTGTTCCTTGGTTGTGAGGGTGGAGCCGCGGGTTTGTTCGAAGTGGTCGAGCGCGGTGGACCATTTGGTTAGGATGGTGGCGTAGTGGTGGATTAGGGGGGCGAGGGATGGGATTGTTGTTGGTGATGGTGATGGCGATGGCGATGATGATGGTGTTGAGGGTTGGGTGTCGATGAGGGTGTGGTAGTCGTGTCGGTATGTGCTGCTGTAGTGTTCGTAGATGTTGCGGGCTTGGGAGAGGGAGGTGAAGGTTGAGGGGATTTCGATGATGTCGTTGGATGTGCATCTTAGTTGGGCTGTGCTGTAGGCTGGACTGTCTTCGATTGATCGGGTCTTTTATGGGATCGTTAGTATGGGGAGGGAGCTTGGGTTGGGGATGGGGATGGGGTAGTACCAGGGCATATACTTGGATCTGTAGGCGGATGAGAAGTTTGCGTATTTCATCGATCTCGAGATTCGGTACCGTGGATGGTCTGAGCAGGGGATGGTGGTATGTTCCTGTGCTTGCGTCGTAGGCAACTTCGCCCAGGATCTTCATGCCGCTTCTGATGTGGCTGAGGGCTGCGACGTAGTGGGCGGACATAATCTGAGTGATGGTCAAACAACTGCGTGTCTCCCAGATGAGTAGTAGAATAACATACCTCGTAGCAGACAAATAGCACGCATGATATAAGACACACGTCCACCGAGAGCGTCGCGCCATGACTACTGATCACATGCGTGGACGATGGACTACCTGAATCCTCGGACGGACGCAAAAGAGCCCGGATGGCCGCTAAGTATTGTTGCAAGGCAAAGGTATCATGGCTTTTTCGGCTGAACCAGGGCCCTGGGATTTGCTGACCATTCTCGAAGTTCTCGTGCAGTGCACCCAAGGCGACTAGGGCATGCCATACTGGCTTCTCCTTCTGACTGACTTGCAAGACTGACCGACTCCATAATTCTGAGCCACAGTAGCCGGCTAGAGAGAAGACGGTCTTTTCGTAGAAGAACTGGAATGATCGGATATCACGGGCCCCTGTGGCATAGCGGAAGCCAGTGAGGGTATGGGACGGACGTGGAAGGATGGTGGTTGTAAGAGTAGAGGTGAGGTTGGTCGCATAGCCGTCGCATTTGCGGCCTGTGGAAGTGCATCTCCGGCAGCTTGGACGGGTTTCGTCGCATTTGACGCGCCTTACTGTGGTGATAAAGAAGATAGTGTGTGGGCGATCACCGTATCTTATTTTTCACGGGGTATCAGACATGACTTACTTCTATGGATGGATTAGTTACTGTATATTCCTTATCGTGAGGAAAGACAAGTCACTTACTTGCATGTGGTACACCCTGACTTGGTCCGTGTCCGGTAGACTCTCTGTCGGGGTTTGCCATTGTCAGAGCTCATTGGTGGGTTTGAACAGATTAAGACGTATGAATGTTCCACTAAGTATAGATAGGCGTGCCAAAAGCAAGCCTGCAGAGGGTCAGATGGAGATTACAAGTCGGAATAAAGATGGCGCCATTTGCGGGGAAAGGAGAAGCTGAAAAGTAATTCGGTCAGCCTCGGAGTGAACATGTCTACTTCCACCCATGCCGGACGGGGCTAAGCAGGAACCAAGTAATGTACAATATAAGCTGACAGAAGAAAAAGAATAATATCCAGATTCCAAAATGCTGCAATGGATGCCAAGATTGAAGATACAACATACAAAAGTATAATTTGTTAATTTGTTATTATTAAGGGCTTTCATTGTTAAGGCCAGACTCCAAACCCCACCGCGATGATCTCATCGCTCGTCTTCTCTAATCAATCAATTAAGTAGCCATCCACTCTTCCATCTTCAACCTATCTTCTCCGCACTTCCTTCATATCTTCTATGATAGTGAACTCATCATGTTTGCTCTACAGAGTCTCCGTTCGACTTATCGTCTAAACTCTGGCCATGAGATCCCCATCCTTGGATACGGGGTGAGCTTATCCTGAACCTTTCCCCATCCGACCAGGCAAACTAACTTATTGAACCAGGTCTATCTGATGTACGTCCACTGAGCCAGGCTTCAACTTACATACCAACTAATTATCTTAGCCCGGCATCCCAGACCGAGAAAGCTGTTCTCGAAGCACTCAGAGTCGGTTACCGTCATGTAGGTTTTACTTTTCCCTCCCATCTTTCGTCACACTCATCAAGATGCCAGGTCGACTCTGCCATCATGTACCGCAACGAGAAGGCCTGTGGGCGCGCCATCGCAAACTCCGGTCTTCCCCGGTCGGAGATCTTCTTTACGACCAAGATACCTCCAGGATCGATGGGATACGATCGCACCAAGCGAGCTATCGACTCAAGTCTACGTGAAGCACAGCAGGAATACTTTGACCTGTCAGTTGTGCCTAAGTGCTTACATCCAGTCAGAAGAAAGCGCTGACAAGTGTAGAATCCTGCTACATGCTCCCTACGGCGGAAAAGAAGCCCGTCTCGGCTCGTGGAAGGCCCTCGTGGAGGCGCAGAAAGCCGGCAAGACCCGATCCATTGGAGTGTCGAACTATGGAATCCACCACCTCGATGAGCTGGAAGAGTACATCAAGTCCGGCGGAGGGGGACAGATCGACGTCGGCCAGTATGAGCTGCACCCGTGGCTGGACCGATCGGAGATTGCAGAGTGGTTGCAGAAACGCAAGATCGTGGTGCAGGCCTATTCCCCCTTGGCGCATGGGACGCGCATGGGCGAACGTGTGCTGAAGGAGCTGGGCAAGAAGTATGGCAAGTCGCCGGCACAGATCATGATCCGCTGGGGGCTACAAAAGGTACGTCCTTTGGAAGCAGTTGGAAGGACTCCATGCTGACGATGTAGGGATTTGTGCCTCTGCCCAAATCGGTGACGCCCACTCGGATTCAAGAAAATGCGGAGGTGTTTGATTTCGCATTGACAGAGGAGGAGATGAAGTTATTGCACACAGGCGAATATTCGCCCACGGATTGGGATCCCACCGTGGACTACGACTAGATGTAGACCAGTTAGCATGTAATGAAACCGGAGTGTACAGAGTAAACTCAGGGTTATGAATGGATGAAGTCTGTGTGGATGGATAAGCACAAGACAGGCGGGCCGGTCCCCGCGGGGCTGCTTAGCAATAATTGAACCAATCCATCCATCTTTATCTTTCTCTCCCCGCCAAACTTCAGCGCATTCCATCTCCGAACCCTCCCTCTTTCCCTCGTCTACATCGCTTCTCTCCTCGAAGTATCCTCTATAAATCCCGTCATCATGAAGCTAATCCTTTCCTCCTCGTACGTCCATCCTCCATATCTCCCCAATCCCCCGCTAACAACCACAGAAATATCATGATAAGCGGCGAGACCATCATCCGCCATCCCACCGAAAAGTCCAACGTCGAACTGATCAACTCCCTGCGCACAAACTTCCAAGCCGCCCAACACGCTGCAGACCCCTCCAGCGACCGTCCTCCTTACACCACTTGGACCAAACAAGGCGACAATGCCCTATACATCCCCGCGACTGATTTCGCGCACGGTCTCTCCGAAGAGCGCTCCCAGTACGACATCACCGTCAAACTATTCTACCTCCCAGGCATCCCTGCCTCCCGGCGCTGCGCACACACCCGCGAAGCCATCGACCTCGTTCTCAAAGAGCTGCACGTCGACTCCATCGACCTGCTGATCGTCTCTTTCCCGGGCATCCTCTTCGACGCCGACGACGACAGCGACGAAGAAGTCTCCTCCGACAATGGCAGTGAAGAACCCGATGACTTTGACAGCATGATCCAGACATGGCGCACCCTGGAGGGTCTGCAGGAACAGGGCATGATCTCACAGTTGGGCGTCGCAGAATTCGGAAGTGAACGGCTCGCCCGGTTCCTTCCCCACACGAAGGTCAAGCCGTCTGTCGATCAGATCAACCTGAAGGATTGTTGTGTCGTGCCTAAGTCGCTGATCCTCTACGCTAAGCAAGAGCATATTCAATTGCTGACGCATAACGACTGCATGGATATCTTGCCTGTTGGCACTACTCGGGACCTACTTGGGCCTGGGGAAAAGGGCGCGGGGATTCTGGCCTCGTCGCCGGATGCGCCGGACGGTATCCAGGGCGATGTCGAGCCGCAGTGGGTGGTCAAGTATACGGCTGTGGTGAAGGATCGGGGGGTGGTGGAGAATAAGGGATATTTTGCGCTGGCGGATGTAGGCAGCTGCGTGAAGAGATCATAACCATCCTCCTCCATTTTCTTCGTCTGCTCACTACCTGATTACACCCTCGCATGGATAAGCACGGCTGGCGTTATTCGTTCTGTTCATTTCATTCCTGTTCTACTTCTAAATCTTCTCTTCATATACATAACGACTCAATGACAAGCACATTCACCATCACCATCCCTCTACCCCCGCAAAAAAGAACCAAGAATGATAGACCTAACCAATCATACTCCTCTTCCTCCCCCTCATCCTCACATCCTCCAACCTCTTCAAGACCGACCCCGACCCGCGATAACTCGCGCGATACCCCTCGAGGACCTCCCCAAACAACGGCTCCGTACGGGGATGCGTACTCCCAAACGCACGCTCCAGAACATACAAATCGACCGCGCGATCCTCATCCTGAATACTCTGACTCGCCAGACCAAAATCAATCAACACCACCTCACCCTGCATATCAGGACTCACCCCTTCCCCTTCCCCATCACCCTCAGCTGCGGGCTCCTCAGCACCCCTCAAGATCAAATTACTCGTCGTCAAATCCCCATGAACCACACCAGCCTTATGCAACGCACCCACAGCAGCCCCAACACGTCTCAACAGCCCCTTGACTTTCTTCTCCTCTTCCTCAATCTCATTATCCTGTAGCTTGACTTCCCCATCAACCTGCCTCTTCGCCCCAACACCCACCCCAGAAGAGCCACCAGATGCAGAGCGAGACTTGATATACCTCTCCCACCTCTGTATCACAACCCTCACCACACATCCCTCGATCCACTCCATGAGGATCCACGCCCCATTTCCTCTCCCATCATCAGCACCACCAGCACCACCACTATGGTTGTTGTTGGTATTATTGATATCCCAGTCCACCGCCAACACAGCCGGAACATTCACACCCTCGCGCACAAGACGCACAAGACACCGTGCTTCCTGGAGGACGCGGGCACGCGTCAATCGCCGGTCGAGGATCGGGTGGCGGTAGGGCTTTGTGGGGCGGATCTTGAGGGCCGCGGGGGTGGAGGGACTCAGGTAGGTCGTTTTGTATAGGTGGGCTTCGGCGCCTTGGGTTATTAGGTGCATTTGGTGAGAGGGGGTGTGGTGGAAGGGTGGGGGGAGGGGCGGGGGTGTGTAGGTTTCTGTTGTCATTGTGGTGGTTATTGTCGTTTGGATTGGAGGTCGGTTGGGAGGTGGAGGTGGTGGTGAGGACGGTAACTTGTGTAGAGTATGTCGTGTGGAGAATGTAGGAGGTGATGGTGAGAGAAGAGAGGGTGTGGATGATATTATGGAGGGGTGAGGGGAGAAATCGATGTTATCGAAAAGTTCGGGTGGGGCGGTGATTAATGGATGGATGGATTCATGGCTTTATCGGACTTATTAAGCAGGTAGTAGTTTTGACAACTGCTGCAACCACCAGATTAACTACTATTTTATGATAATTGCTAGGTAGAATAGTCTTCATGATTTACTGTACTACTTTTAGAAGGCATAGTGGTGTGAAATTGCAGTTTTCTGCTATCGCTAAAAGTACACAAGTACACAACATACAACGCCTGGTATGCTTTTAACCCGTCCCTTTTACAAGTCCTCGTTATCGAGTGCTTTTTTATGTATATATCATGATCGCTTGCGGCGAGCTGCCTTGGCTCTCTCCAATGGCGCCTCGTACACCTCGCTCCATGTATCTTCGAACGTCGTCTTGCGTGCCCCGATCTGCCCCTCGAAGAAGTTCATCTTGCGCACCACCTCCATCGCTCCCGTTCCCAGCGACACCGTCTTGCCCATAATAATACACTCGGACACACCCTCGATGAGATCGCTGCGACCCGCGCCACCGGCGTCGAACAGATGGTCCGCCGTCTTTTCGAACGACGCCAGCTGCAGCACGGAATCACGCATCTTCGCGAGACCGAATCGCGTGATACCCAGCACTTCACCCTTGTAGGTCATGACATCGGCCAGCAACTGCATGTGTCGCGGATCAATGTCCATGTCCTTCATGACCTCGCTGATTTCCTGCACGATGGTGGTCCGCGCTGCCTCGATACCGAGAACGTCCCGCATCTCCATCACGTTGTTGGTTGACGTGCGCAGTCCGTCCACACCCATCGTCGTCATACACTCCCGGAGACCGTAGCCTTCTACCAGAAGCGTGTTGGTGGTAGACGTCTCATCGGTTCGGATGATGGCACGGAAGGCCTGGGGGTGACCCAGGACTTGG